GGTTCTATATAGAACTTGTTTCTAAACAGAACCATTGCCTTTACTAAAGAACCCTTGAAGAACCATTTTTTCTAAGTGTGTATTTATAGCTAGCATGGAAGAAATATGAATACATTTGTTATAGTTCGTATTAGAGAAAAGTCTTTATATTAACTACTTATAGTTGGCACTGACGAAATGTGATGTTAATTACCTTTCATCTACTATTACCAACATTACTGTTTTTGGTATATGCCTTTTAATTCATTTTGGAAGCACTATTTTAACTTCTTTCTGCAGCCCCCTAGTGGCCATTCTAACCACAGGACCCTGATGCCACGACGGCAGTGTTCTTCATATCAAAAAATTGGGCATTGAAACACAATAAAAAAACTTTTTCAAATGTTGACCTGCTTGCTTACCTATTAAGACAAAAGTCCAACTCACTTTCACCTTTGTAAATCATTAGCATTTCCATAGCCATATATTCACATCATTGAAGAAAAAAAATAGCATAGTTCACCATGTGGAAATTAAATAGATCCTCTAGGCTTAGCACGTGCATCGACTTAAAACCAGTCAACAAGATCGAACTGATTTCTCATTTCTTTCTTTACAGACGTTAAGAGTTTTAGTGAAGGCTCTTCTCTGGTTCCTTGGCACCATCTTCAGGTCACCAACACAGAGGACAAGCAGGAGCTGGGATTGTTACAGCCCAGCAATAAGGACAGAGACTGTTCCCAGATCAGCGCTCTGAACAGCTCCTCCACTACACACTGCCCCATTTGTGGCAAGGTAAAGCACCCTGACTTCCACACCACAAGCATGTAAGAAACCTCACCAAACATAAAGCCTCAAAAGCTGCATGAAGGAGTGTAGATGAAAATAGTATGGGCTTTTGTTTTAGGGGTCATTGCTGTGTCTGCTCAATGAAATAGCTTCAACTTATTATTGCTTGATTCAGAATGACACTACACTAAAAGCTGTGGTCTGTGTGTTTGTGTTCCCTTTCTCTCTTGTAGCTCTTCTCTTCCCTTTCTGGCCTGGAGGCCCATGTGTACAAGTATCATCAAGGTTACAGCCTGCCTGTGGTCTACTGCAACAGCAACAAACCTGTGACAACATATAGAACAAAGGTCACTGGTCATTATATATAGATCAATACCTTGCGTCTCCATTTAGTTTGTCACCCACACTTAGTCCCAATCCCAGTTCACCCAGTTCAATTATTGTTAAGATAGAGAGGTAGGGCGTGTTAGGGCTACATCGCCCTCCAAATGGAGGTTTTTCAGAGACTTACTACAAACTGAGAAAATTATGAGAAATCAATGCCACATACCAAAAACCAATCCACCAGCATTTCTAATATTTCTCCAACTTTCTGCAGAAAACTGCAAAAGGATGCCTACTGGCATGTTGGAAATGTCCAGCAAAATTTGTCACGCCTGTTTATGTAAAAGCACCTGACTACCGATATGTTGGGTTCTTGAAGGGTAGTCCCATTTCGTAGGGGAAGATTGCAACCACTACCCCCTGCAACTCAGTTCCAAGAGGCAAGGTGACACTCCAAAGCAAGGGGAAGGACTGAAAAATAAGAAATGGGCCTGGGCTATAATGTTTTAAGACTTGAGGACTAATGAAAAAGAAAGAAATATTTTGTTTGCAGTCAGACTGCATAACCAGAAAGCTTCAGATTTAATTGTATTAATTGATTAAACGGATGATCATAAAATGGACTGGTAAAGTTTTAAAAGCTGATTGGCTGAGAATCTTTGAACATGTTGCCCACTGACCACACCCTAATGTAAATTAACTATACTGCTTTCTGCATCAATAGTTCATTTAAAAAGATACGCTAAATTAAAAGATTTTTAAAAAAGTCATTGGTATATTCTATCAGAATGAATATTGTCAGTTTATAAAAGCAATTAGCCATGGGAGAGCATGCCCTATAGTGAATTTACCACAGTTTAGGGCAATGGTCTAAAATCCAGACCTTTAATCCAGTTTCCAGTGTAAGGAAAATAGTTGATGCTGTCAAAAGTTGAGGAGAGTCAACTTCTCACATGTAAAACTGCCCTGTTAAACGTTGACAGTGAAATGTCTCCACATTTGTCAATGAGAGGCGCTGTCTGTGTACCTTATAAACTGGCAGCTTTGTGCTTTTCACTCAGTGCAGTGTCCAACTGTTGTATATAATTTTACTTTGCTAACATGACTAACTTACAAAACACAAACGTGCCAGACATCTGAAGAAATCAGAAGTAATTTGGTGTGGTTAGACTAACCACTAACCATTACAGCTAGAAAAAAAGTGGGAAAAAAGAAAGATATTTTTCTGCTCAGTTGCCCCAAAAGCAATGTTTCCAGATCATCCACTGAGCAGTTAATAATTTGTGTGTGGAAGACCACCACTCATCTAACGTTAAACTGTTAGCTTTAGCTCATGAACAGATTTAACCCACAGAAGCTAAAAGATTTTCCTTTGCTTTTTTGACACACCTGGAGACAACCTGTTAAACTTTTAGTGTGGGATTGCAGCAAAACCCACCACCAGCAAGGGTACACCCTCTCTAAAATCCACCCCCAAATTCCTCAAAGTTGTGCTCTTTTAAAGGTGCAGTGTGTAAGATTTCTATTTTTCGATTAGCAGAAATAAATTATAGTATATAAAACGATGTTATCATTAGTGTGCCATCACCTGTAACTACAAATCAATGTTTATTATGTTGGACTGAGCCCTTCATACCAACAAAGGGTCCTCTTCCTCTTCTGAGGCCACAAATCGAATCCACCTGCAGTTGCAATATCCAGCACTGGAAACTGGACTTAAGGACCTCTGGTTTTAGGAAGATAGGACCGAAGTTTCAGTATCCTGGACAAGCACATTTTACTGTATATGTAATGGCCGTGCACAATGTGGAAGCTTAGTGTTACAAGCAACCTGATGAAAAAACCTGTACATAAACCTAACAGTGCATTCTTGTATGTTTCAGGAGCGGACGTTTGATTGTCAAGTGTGTGGGAAGGTGTTCAAGCGTTCCTCTACTCTCACCACACACCTACTGATCCACTCAGACACGCGGCCTTTCCCCTGCCAGTACTGCGGCAAGAGATTCCACCAGAAATCAGACATGAAGAAACACACCTTTATTCACACTGGTGAGAACACACTTTCATATACGCATTTGAAGTGCCCATATTGTGGCCAACTGAATTTCTCCTTCTCCACCCCACAGTTCATATGGAACATGGAAACAAGCTGTTTTTGTAGTTGTTTTGAACTTTTTGATGTTAGTGATATGAAAATTGTGGGCGGATGCCAATATCTGACATTTTTCTTGTACATATCTGCCAATGCTGATCCATATACCTTCATAGTATGTAGAAGTTTGGAGCACAATAGCATTACAGAGAAATCAAACATTTATCTAGGGTTACAAATGCAGTAAAAATCAATAGAATGCATATATTTTACAACAGTAGCCCTACATCACCTGAACATTCTGCTCTTCTGGAGTATAATATTTCATCAAATATCAGTTTAAAATGTTGTTCAAATATATATATATATATATATATATATATATATATATATATATATATACATACATACACACACATATACACACACACACACACACACACACACACACACACACACACACATGCCTTGATGCATCCAAACAGCAGCTGCGATTGGTCAGGATGCTCAAAGCACACGAAGCATTCGGTGATTGGTTGGAGAATCATTTGCATATTGTACACAGATCACAGAGTTGTGAAGACAAAAAATTCAATACCGATTATCAAACAACATTGTGCCTGACTATACATAAATCTACCAGACTGATTTTATAACCATGTTGTGCCAAAAATTGTTACAAGTGGTAAGAAGTGTACAACATTCCTCTTCTAACATGTAGATTGTTCCTATTTTCCCCCCCTCTCATGTTTAGGAGAGAAGCCACATGTGTGCAGAGTGTGTGGAAAAGCCTTCAGCCAAAGTTCTAATCTCATCACACACAGCAGAAAGCACTACAGACCTTTCAGCTGAGCATACACATACATCTGCTCTGGATTTTTCTGTATATAATAAATATAATATCTCCCACAATGTTAATGAAGATGTGAATGTGGCTTTTTTTAAAAAGATTATTGCAATAAACTGTGCTATTTATGAAACAAATTATTTGACTCAGGTCAAAGGTTGAGCACAAAATATTTATTATTTACTGTTGTCCATGGTTTTTTTTTAGAAGACTTCAGCACAGCCATTCTCAGGACTTCACTGTCAGAGCATCTACATCATCTTAAGTTTAAAACCCCAACACACAAAAAAACAAACAAAATCAAAGATGAGTTCCCAAAGACAGAGATGTGTGTGATTGATTTTATATTATATTTTATTTTATTTTTTTAATATATATATATATATATATATAATAAACACACACACACAGTTTATGTACATTACCATTAAAATGTTTGGAATCACTCATTATATTAATTTAAGTGATTGGTATTGATGAAGGTACCCGTCCAACTGCACCTTTCAAAGGGTCATGCCATTTCTACAGCTACGAATGAGAAGCTAGCTTCGGCCTCATACTAGCAAATGATGTCTGTCTGTTTAAGTGGCTGGCAAATACTGACGCAGGTTGATAATGCGTTTTTACCATCTTACAGTAAACTAAACTGTCACCACCCAGCGATCTAGCACAATACTAATGAGTGAGTAGAGACCCATATTGAACAAGACATTATCAAATGTAAGATGCACCATAATTATCTACCAATTCTGAAATGAGAGACATAGATATTAGTATTATTACCACTTAATGCTGCGTAGATTTCTCAAAAAAATTAGTCATTACAGTTCTGTTCATTCTAGACAAGTCTAGTTTTTTTTTCCTTTTTTATATAAACAGTTCCCTAACTATTTTTTTATTTATTTATTTTAACTGAAAAACAGTGATTCCAAACTATTTAGTGTCTATGATAAAATGAAAGGAATTGGGCTAATGGTAATAAGGAAATGTCATGTACTCACCATCAAAGCAACCTTCTATACATGGACCTTCAGAAGGCAAACACACCTCGGTGGCACACATGAAATAAATCTGAGAAAGCAAAAGGAAACAAACAGCGAATCTCCACTAACTTCACTGTAGCAGATTTTTGGTGTAGTAAATACTTAAAAACCTCCATAAAGCATTACTACTTCTACATGAGCATGGTTTTTCCATCACTGACAGAAGCCACACATTTGTCTCATCAATTCTCCAAAACAATTTAGTGCAGGTGATAGAATGTTTACCTCTTCCTTGTCCTCCTCACCAGGCTCCGAGAGGCCCTTACTGCTTTCCAGAAACTGGAAAGTGCTGACAGTGAAACGTCTCACGTGATTGGCCACTGCCTCTGGAGGAGGGGCAGGGGGCTCATGGGTTGGAGTCACATCGAGGGGGTTTGGACACCTATAGAGAAGGATGTTCATGTACATTTATAACCAAAGACAGAGATCATAATTTGTCTGGTCTCTAGTCAACCTGACAGACAATACAGTGCAAATTACAACAATAGTGAGGTTTTCTTAACTTGCCAGAAGAGATTACTGCGTTTCAAAATACAGTGCTGGTTCTAAGAGCTGACTGGCTGAGCCACAGTTAAAATTGCTGTTAAAAACTCAATACACACACATACAGCCACTGAATTCTGTATTAAAAGTTATTAAGAACTCTTGTGCTGTTCACAGAATGATTGTTTTGCTTGGCTAAAACAGTTTGATTGTTAATTTAAATTATTCACTGAACAGTGAAGTATTTTATCATATTTCACTGCTTTTGTAAGGCCATAAGCCAGTCAAAGCCGTGGGTTGGTAATTTTTACCACAGTTAAGCGGATGTTGTTAGCCACAATGCTAAGAGAAGTAAAAACCCCTTAAATGTGATAATCATCTCAATATAAAGCCTCAAACTGCTTTAATCTATAAATCTATTGCATCAACAATTCAACAAATGAGGATCTACAGTGTGAACTGTACCCGTCATAGATGAGGACCCATGCAGACTGTGCTGAGCGAGGGTAAGCCACACAATAATGCACCAAAAGCACCACACTGGGATCTGGAGGGTTCAGCAGACGCACTTCTAGATAAAGGGGTTTTCCTAGAAGCTTCTGCAGGGGCCGGTGGTATTGTGGGTAGTAGCTACTGTAATGCTGATCTGAGTTGGTTGAAAAAGAGTACATGTCGAAATAAGCATGAAATAAAACGTCTACAGTTACATGACAAACTAAACCAATTACCATCTACTGAAAGGGACTAACTAATGAAATAGGCTGTGCACTACTACTATTAAGTCTGCAAAAATCAAAGCTCAAAGTGTAATAAGTGAGATTACAATTCTCTCTAAGCCATTTTCTAAAACTATTTAGAAGTTATTCACAGCCAACACCACAAAAAAGGCTGACAGTTCCTCTATACAAGACTCTTACCTTTAGCTATCCTGAGTTGGACTCCAAATACCCCTTGGGCCTGAATGGACGGTCCAAGAGATGGACTTATTACCAGATAACTCACACTCGTCAGAGTGCCAGGCAGATACCGACATTCAACCAGCAACCTGAAAGAGGGACAGACAACCAATCAAGGATGTCATTATCAATTAGTGATTAAGTACTCATTTTTTTGAGTAATTATTTTTTTACAAAAGGCCAAAGAATAAAAGAAAATAAATAATAATAATAATAATAATAATAATATGTTAATAATAATAATAAATAGCCATACTTCCACATGTATGCATACCTAAATGGTGAATCTCTGGTGATAGTTCCATGGTTGAGGCTGAGGGACTGCAATGTATTCAGAATCTCTAGCATGTAGATTACAGTCTTACCCACTTCCTAAATAACATAACGACAAACTCATAAGGTTATACACAGTACTGTTAAAGTTTGGAATCCAATAACGAAACTGACAATATAAAAAAAAAGATTCCAATAAATAAAAAAAATAAATAAATAAAACAGTTCAGTGCAACTGTGCAAATAAGCTTGGAAGCTCAAAACATTCAACGTCAACAATGACAGTGAATATAGAGTCAGTTGAGCATTAATGGTGCCTTCACAGATGTGCACACCACCCATGCCATGTGCATTAATGCACCCCTGTACCATCATGAATATTGGCTTTTGAACTGTGCACTGATAACAAGCAGAGTGATCATTGTCCATGATTTCCAAAAAGATTTTCAATTGTTGATTTGTCGGACCACAGGACACTTTTCCACTTCCCCTCAGTCCATAAATGAGCTCGGGCCCAGAGAAGGAGGCAACATTTCAGGATCCTGTTTATATTTATATATCCAGAGATTTCTCTGGATTCTCTGAGTCTTTTAAATGTTATTATGTATTGTAGATGATGAAAACCAAAAAAAGGTTTTTGCTGTTTTACGTTGAGAAATGTTATTCTTGAATTGTTGCACTATTTCATCATGCAGCCTTTCACAGAGTGGTGAACCCCTCCTCATCTTTACTTCTGAAAGACTAAGCCTCTCTAGGATGTTCTTTTTACACCCAATCATTTCACTGACCTGCTGCCAATCAAGCATTACACAGCTTTACCAGCCTTTTGTTGCCCCCATTCCAACTTTTTTGGAATGTATTGTTAGCATCAAATTCAAAAAGTATTTTTCAATGAACAATAAAATTTCTCAGTTTCAACATTTGATGTTTTTGTACTATTTTCAATTAAATATATTGTTTAAGAGATTTGCTCATCATTGCATTCTGTTTTTATTTACATTCTGCACAGCATCCCAACTTTTTTGGAAATGGGGCTGCAAAATGACTGACAAAACTGTACAGCACCAGAGAAACATTACAACAAAATTAATATCCAGAATGACTAATAAGTGGCAGTCAAATTTAATGAGAAAATTTAATAAGAAATAACTTGACTAAAATGACTAAATACCTAATTACAGTATATTATGATTTAACAACACCTAAAATACATTCTACCAGGACACAGTGCTGCTAAGAAAAATCTAAAAGTATGGACAATTCGAAAGTAGTTTACGAACTGCCTATAACTAATCTCTTGCATTAAACAGACCATTAACAGCAAAGTATCAGAAGAACGATTTTCTCAATGTGATCATAATCATACTCACATATCTGTGAGCACCACAGCCATCCAACGGGACCTTAAACAGGGCAGAGTCTGCCACCACCCTCTGTGGTGTGCAGGAGCTGTTGCCAGCAGCAACCAGGAGGGCAGGTGAGAGGGGAGGGTCAGTGAGGGACGCAGGGATGGAGAAGACAAAATGGTGGTCGGCTGTGCACTCTGAGGAATAAAGAAAAACAGGAAAAAGGTGGCAGATGACCGATACTGGATATTTTTATGCCATCATTATTCTCTTTTCTCACATGGCACTGACTTTGCTTAAGTCACATGCAGAGTGGGAACAGGGTCATTAGATCAGTCAATTTGGGGAAAGTACTGAGTTGCAGTTTTTCTGACCAAAACTGTGACTGAAATCTAAACTGCAATTATTTTCTATAAATTGAGGTCCAAGCCTGTAATAACTTTTTACCACATAAAACACAAAAACAAACACACACATATACATGTGTGTGTGTGTGCCAGTCAGCAACTATGGCAAAAAGCAAAAATAAGCAAAATTGTTTTGAAAGAAGGAGCAATGACGGAAACTGGCTCTGCAAATATGTGCACAACTGCTGACTGGTTTGTGTGGCAATTTGTGTGGTAGATAGAGGTGCAACACACCCAATTTTGTCAAATCAACATGTCAAGTAAGCAACACAAGTCTCTGAAGCGGTTTTAGTAAGCTGTTGGCTAGCAATCAGCTGGCGTCTGCTGATTCTGGCCTAGTTCGAGAGTGTTTTTCATCGCAAAATAAATACGGTGTGTTATTTCTTAATTTGTACAGTGTCATTTCATTACTCCATTAACTGTTCACTTCTTTCTTCTGTCATGACGAAACTGGCATCAACGACAGTCCAGTTTGGCCAGTTTGTTTTGCATCAAAAATGTCAAGACACCAGACTTCATCTGACATCAAAGGGCAATGGCATTGAGTGGCATTTGAGTATGCAGACCCTGCATTTTGAGTGGTCCATAGGTCACCACTGCTTCTTTTGTCATCAGTGCGTAACCGCATCAGCTTCTTATTAATTGTATTCATCAATGTGATCATTAGGAAATGTGCAGGCTCCTGCTAACTGCATTGTATGAAGAAAATAGAAAGAAATAGAAAGAAAAAAGAAATAGTTAACTTTAGGTGTAGCCCACTTTATAAAGGCTAACACTTAAAAATTGGAAGCTTATCTAATACACAGTACAGTTTTAAAAGTTTAAAAAGCCTTTTGTCTACGCATCTTGTGAGATCTATTCATAATGACATTTCATCCCCTTGGAATTATTAGGTTCTATCTGCGTTCTGAGCAGTTTTGAGACACTGTGCCTTAGAGATTTTGCATTCCAAATAGGAAAACCAATATGATACAAGTCTGTGTCAAAAATTAAATTGACAGACAGTCTAAATGTATTCTAAATATAACAAATCAGAATCCTAACAAATTTATAATAGAGTTTTTGGAACAGGTCAAATTCAGACAGAACCTTCTAATCTTAAGAATTCACTTTCTGCTTGGAATTTTAAGGTTCTATCTGGCAAAAGAGAAAAGCAGCAATGATTTTCAAGGAATGAGTTTCCTCAAATTGTTTTAAAACAAAATTAGTGTTGTAACAGAATGTCTACATATATCAGAAAATTAAATGTAATGTTTTATGACTGACAATTAATTTTATTATTTATTCATGTTTTTACGGCATTTGTTTCTTGTTTTAGGACAAATAGTCTTTCTTATTAAAAAAAAAAAAAGCACTGATTTAAGTATAAAAGGTCAGTGCTAAATATTTTGTCCAGTGCAGAGGTCAGTTTTATGTAGGAACCATTAGTTTAAGTTTCCTTTAGGTCAGACAGCAACACTGTAATAAACTGTCACAGCAAGTAAGTGTAGCAGGTCAGTTAAAGGCAGCATGAGGTTGTTTTATATCAGAAATGTGACTAATGAGCTAATACGTAATATTGGGAGAAAGAAGAAAAAGAAACGATGAATAAAGTTCATGTTGATGTTATTATTAAGACCCCATTAATTCAAATGTACACTAATTACATTTAAGGCTTAATATTTATAAAATTTAAGATAAGACTTTTTAAAGAGATGCAAGATGACAGGTAATATTTCAGCAACATGTTTTCATGTTTCATAAAGTTTTATAAACCTTTCTCGCAGTCAATGAGTAGTGAGGCAACATGACAATGAAGCAGAACCTGACTGGTCCTTGTGTGTATTCCAAGTGCTGATTGGCTCACAGATAGAACCTTTTATTTAACCGTGCATGTTGTTGCCACCATGTTAACTGGTGAGAAACTCACCGTCCATGGGGTAGTAGCAGGAAGCAGTATCAGAGGAGTAACAGCAGCCCCGGTTATGGCATTCTACTGCTGAAACTGAGCTTGGTCCACAGGCCAACTGGAGTTCAACAGCCAGATTGCAATCTAAACAATGAAGACATTACCATTATTTGAAATTTAATCAGCAAAGACCTACAGACCTCAACTTAGTGTCTGAAGTTTGCTTTAGTTTTGCATTAGAACTACAAGGCTAATGAAGACAACAGGAATAAAGGAACCAGTTAGCATTATGTAACTGCACATTTAAAGGTTACAATCATGTCAATGAGAAATTTCAATACCAGCGATTACTACACAGATATATCAAGCACTGCACTGTTTACTGCTGGGAGCATCAGTAAATTCAAGGCAAAAAAACAGCTAAGTGCCACATTAGAGGAACAGTAAGACTTTTACATGCTGATGTCTCATAATGTGCTACATTTCCTTAGGTCTAAATCTATGAAAATGTATTAAACTCAAACTGTTGGGTGATAAGTTATTTCAGTTGTCATACCATGGCCTGTGGGAACTTGGCACGACAGCAAGGCCTCAACTCCACGACCGTCCGCTGACTGATACTTAAGTATAATCTGGTACTGTCCGTCCTTTGAAAAATTACAGTAAATAAGTTTTAAATCTTTACTGAGACTTTACAACTGCAACACAGATGTAAGGTGTCACTTGAATGTCCATTCCAAATTTACACTAAAAGATGCTACAAAGTGTCAACATTTAGACTGCATCCACAGATTACTGCAAACACTGAAAATTTCATAGACAATCTTCCAGCTATACCAATTTCTGATTAATATTTTTTGACGCTTTGGTTTAAATTTTTAAAAAAGTTTTTAAGCATACCGATACTACTGACAAAGTAAGCCATTCTTTCGGACGCCTAATTTTTACCCGTCACAGCTAAGCAAGCAGCCTTCTGTAGACCTCTTACCGTAACTCAAAGGACACAGACCTGATAAATCATGTGACAAGATGTGTAGGGCAGGAGGATGTTAAATCCATTTTGGTCCTCCTTCACCAAATATCCACAATGATGCGGAGCTTCATCTAGCAGCACTGCTTTTATATTCTCTCCTTTGCCACCAGAGGGAGCTATGAGGGGCATAATATTACAGAAATAATGTGGCAGGATTTTTACAGTGGCAGACTGCCACAATTCCTGGCTTGAGTTTTAAATATGGCAAATAAGGCAATCATCCAGCAAAGACTCTTACCTTTTTAAATTGAGGAACTAGTTTAATACAATCATCAGTGAAATACAGTGAGTGGTATGCACTCTATGAAATGTACACCTTTTCTACTGGCTCTCTCTTCAGTATATTACTCAAGAATCAAAACTTAATTCCTTACAAACAAAGCTGAAAATAGTATAATATCTGCCACATCTGTACCACAGCTCCCACAAACCTATTTGCTAAGAAACAGGTCAAACATCAAAAAACCTGCTCTCTCAAACCACAAAAGGAAGCCAATAGGCAAATGCTGATTCTATGAAAATTCCATGAAAAACTAAAAAAAAAGATTTTAACCAAGACTCACTTTGAACAGTCAGGCCTGTGACGGCTCCAGAAGACAGCATTACCCTCATATGTTGGGAGTGACACAGGATTTGGGGGACGAAGGGTTTAGAAGATAGTGCTGTAGGTTTGGGCCGCTGAAACGGTGTGGGTGTCGGTTTCCGAAGCCGGGAAGGTGGAGTCACAAGCTTAACTGCTTGTGAAAATGAAGGCTTAGGTTTTGGCACGATACTGGCTGTATCCCATATCCAGGGAGCAAATGATGCTGCTGTTGTGGGAGGTGGTTCATGAGGTGCAGCGGTGGGACAACGGAGTTGCACAATGCGGTGTTTTAACTGGATAATGTCCCAGAACTTCAGTGAAAGAGAGAATAGCGAAGAGGACTGCAGAGGAGAGGAAAGGGAAGACCAATATATCCGATTAAGGAGGACTAACTGTTCTTTGTAATGAAATATGCAGAGTTAAGTTTTTTTTAAGTACTGACAATATCCACAAGATAACTTACAAATGCATACTGCGACAATTAAATCATGATAAATATACTGCCACATTACATAACTCTACAATACAACCACTAAAACCACAAAAAAACAAGGCTTTAAATGAGAAGTATGGCTGGTTTAACCTGCAATGACAAAGGGGCATTACTACCTGTCTGACCCTGGCTACTTTCAAGGTAAGACAGGTGAAATGGAGACAGAGGTGACACCCACCAGAGTGCGTGAGTGGCAGGCAGGTAGAGGGGAGGAGAATACCACCCCCCTACCTTTACGGTGCAGTGAATACCCACAGCGTGCTGGAGTAGAGGACACAGGCACCCACATATTCCTCTTCACATCTAAATATTCGAGGGAGAAACAACATTAAGGTCTGGGTATACTTTACCTAAATGGGAGTCTAGACAGATTAGATCTAGAGAACAAGTCCTGGGAACATTCAGAGCTTTGAAGGCTTTCCCCTTCCTTTATTATAGCGCTCTACAACACTCTTGAACACTCCAGAACAGGGGTTCACTGATTTCACAAATGGAAGCCCAACATGGTTTGGAGACTTCTTAATTTACCAAACTACTCTAACACCAACCAAGCCAGACCATTAACTGAAGCTGAATCAGGCATGTATGAGCAGGAAAATCACCAAACTGTGCTTCAGGTTCCCCTGTTCTAGAGCCCTGGCTCTAATATTTAATGGAGAAATCCACTAATTTGTCATATTTCAGGCTCATAACAAAGCAGAGGAGCATTTCATAAGCTTATTCAACTCACCAATAAGTAATAATTAAATTCCTTCACATTTCTCAGTATTACAATTCAGGGTAGTTTTTGGGTGGTTAGTTTTAAGAGTAGAGAGAATAATCTGTGTGGCTTTCAAATGACACCACCACAATGGAGGAGTCCCTGACATGCAACAAGTTTATACACTTATATTTTACCTTTGACTTTAACAGACTCCATTTTAGCAGATGGCAAGGCTGCTACCAAATGATTCCACATGCAATTAAGAGATGGTGACATCGTGGAGGAGGCAGTTGGGAGCACTGGAACTCTAGGTGGAAGCTGAGGAAGTTGAGGTTCTTGAGGTATGGTCTTCACTGGAGTCTTTGAAGTGTGTTTTGGTACTGATATTGCAGCAACAGTGAATTTTGGGACTGGACTTGGCAGCACTGGTTCTGAATGACTGAAAGGATGGTAGGCGGGGTTCAGGTAGAGATGTTTCGGGTAAAGAATGTGGTTATAATGAGAGTACATCATGGGCATCATTGGGTGATGCCCAACAGAAGATGGAAAATGTGGAATTGTTGCTTTTGGTGATGTAATAAAAGTTCCCGGTTCATGATATAAAGGTATAGAAGAGTACTGATATGGGACTCCTGGGGCATCAACAGGTAGTGCTGCTTGAGGAAACGGCAGCACTGGGTCAGAATAGCCATAGGGTTGCTGCATGATGGGCATCTCAAAAGGAAAGCCTGGACCCGTCAGATAGGTATTAGGGTATTTGACAGGGACAAACCCAGGAGGAATGTGTGGTATATAAGGCTTTGGATAAGGTTGATAAGGCGCCATGTGTGGTTCAGGTGTCTCTCGTTTTGTCAGAGGTGAGCTGGATGGGGAATTTAGTCCAGATGGGGTAAAATGGGTCTCTGTCTGACCTGGATGAAGTGGTTGAAAAAACTCAGCAGAAGGATAATGGGGGAGATGGAGGGGAGGCTGACAAGAAAGAGTGTACTCTTTTCCATTCAAAAGGACATTGAGGGTGCTTCCGCCATCCTAAATGTGAAAAACAGAATTAAAAACACTGATGCTAGGGAAGAGAGCATGGTAAGAGCATTAACTAGTGTTCGTTCTGGTTCCAATTTTAATGCTGGTCCCATCAGACGTAAGCTAATATTTTCCTTGGATGTGTGATGAATATTCCTAAGGCATAAAGAACAGTGCCTGCTTTAGTTTAGAATACCATTCATTACATCAAGGAACAGCCTCTTTGTTAAAAGAAAGTTGAAAGTGAAGACTTTGGAAATGTATTTATATTTAAGGACATGTCCATCAATCTCCTGCTCCATCTGTTCTAAAGCATGCACACCATATGTAACTTCTATATGCTAACCATTTCAAATGACCTCTATCTGCCCAAGAACCCTCAGGAATCCCATTTTTTCCACCCTGTAAAACGTGTATGAAGATATCAAAAGGAACTTACCCTAGCACATGGAGCTCTGAAAGGAATGAAGAGGACTAGATCTTCAAGTGGTGAGTCCATACGACATGCGCATGCATCAGACACAAGAGGAAGCCACTCACCATTCACTGAAGACAAGTAGAACACAAGAAAGATATAAAGAACAAATAAAACTATTTTTGAATGAATTACTGTTACATGTTTGTTCTCCATTTTCGTTTTTCTCCATTTTTGTTCGAACATTTTCAATCTAAAATTAAAACTTTGCACAGTTGCCTTTAATTACAATGACAGTGTGAGTAATTCTAGCAGCTTAAACACAGCTTAACATAAAAAGTCAATGTTGAATCTACAGTTAAAAAAAAAAAAGTCTTAAATGTCATAACTTAACATAAAAAAACCTTAGTTACGTTAAGAGATGTTTCCTTTGTTTTCCTTATTCCGTCTCCTATAAAGTTACTGTATCATGAATCAACGTTAGAACAGACAGAGCAAGCTGCAGTTCTTGATTAATGGCGTTTACTTAAGAAACACATGTACAGAACATTTTTTAAAGATTCTATGGTCTAAACAATAAAGTTACAATAAAGACACCTGTATGCACTCACACATCAATAAGGACTCTACCTCACCTTGGACCTTATGGTCCTCTATAGCCCCCTGGGTACCTTCCATCTTTATAGCCATGCCAAAATTCAAGCAGAAGCCAGAAGGAGTGCCCTGAGCAGAAGCAGAGCTCATAGGGCAGTAAATCTTCACTGGCTTTCCCCACCACAGCAGTGGCAACACATAACTTCCATTCTAATGGAACAGAGAAAACTGTACAGATCAGATGCATTAAACTAAAAGGCATTTCTCAGTGATGATTTCATGGAACACTTCCACATAAAATGTATTGAATCCATTTTTCTTTTTTAATAAGCACATCAAATGCCTTGATAATTGCCTTCTCCATAATATAGAGCACACAGGAAGAGTTTGGGAGGGGAATCAAATTTCTGCAGTTTCCAGCTGACTCCAAATGAAATCACTTAGCCAAGACACTTTGGTGCCTGAAGTTTGCTTCTTCAATTGTGCACTGAAGATACAAGGCTAATGTAGCAAATATGTAATGAAACTCTCTTACAATTAGCATTGCACAATCTGCATAGCCAAATCATCTAAAGCTTGCCTCAAATTGCACAAGTTGCCTCAAGTTGCTCAATTCTCAAATTGGCCTGATGTGGTTTCTTGCAACGTTACACATAACTTTATCTGTGTAAACAGACAAAAGAAGACCTACCATACCTAAAAATAGTAGATGTAGCCAACTTGGAGCCAAAATTTTGCTCATACTTACATTGTACATTTTATAGAGAACAGCATATCATACAGTGTCAGAAACCACAGAAGCAGTAATTTTAGACTACAAAACAACCCAAAGTAGTTTGCATGATGCTAACTGGTGGGGTACAACTCTTGTTACCTCTCTTTGCTGGTTAGCTACATCAGCTTCATAGCTTTGCTAAAAAAGGAAAAAATAAAGCTTCAGCCAGCATATGTCTTGGCTGCTCAGCTACATTTGGGGTAAGAGGAAAACTGTTCAAATTAACTGAAGAGCTTGCTGAGTATTTTACAAAGAAGAAGAAAGAAACCAATGTTATCTATAGTGACTACAAATATGGAAAGTTAAAATGACCAGAGAAACGCTGAGACTCAAGCAAAAAATAAAACGGCAAGGGTACCTGTTGTAAGACATAGCACCCATCAAATGGAGCTGTAAGGACCATGTGTCTCCATGAGGTCTTCAAAGAGTAGCCACAGTTTGGTGGCAGATGAAGCACAGACACAGGGATCGCATCCACTGCAAAAAGTTGAATTATTTATCTACTTGACATGAACACCTTTTCTCAAAAAAATCCTACATAATTAAATGGTTGAAATGTAAACAGTCATTCTTTCAAACTTCTAGAACAGAGCACTTCAGTCAAAATTGTTCACAGTGGTGGTGATGGGAACCAGATGTCTGAGGAGTGTAATACCTTTGAAAGCTCCCTCACAGAAAGTTACTACATGAAATGGTTAGATCTGTGCTGCCTGATGTCTAACACATTGATTTATGATAGTTTTATGATAATGTTTTGGCTTAAAAGGTATTTTAATCCATCCATTGCAGAGGAGCACAGGCAGGGTGTTGTAAAATAACCCCCAAAGAAATCTTATCTTCTCACATTTATGACTACATTAACAACATTAGAAATAAAACTGAGAAGGCGTGTAGGTTCACTGGTGGTTTTGGACAGTAAATAAAAGGGCTATATTTCACATCAAACCACTCTGAATGACTTTACATTTGAAGGACTAAACCATTATACAAAAATTTTGAAAAAGTGGTGGAATTCCCCTTTAACAGGGTTTCTTCTGTTACACAACACTTATGGCATAGATACAAAGCAAATTTTGAACATGAACATTAAGTCAATGTGAGTGCAGGCTAACCTCTGTCCACAAGAAAGTGAGTGTAGCCCCTTCCTGTAGCTGTTAGGGTCATAGCATCTCCAGAACAATGCACTAGGGGTCTCATTTCCAACCACTCTTGAGTAATGAAGGAAGGACCATTTAGTTTTCCATCCTCCTCTTCACCCTCAAGCCCTACACATAAATAAACACAAAGAACATTGTGTAATACCACATAGGCAGATCAATGTCTGCATCAATTCAGTGGGACTTCTTTATAAAGCTGCTCCCAAATTAAGGATAAGGTCTGATTAATTCCACCTCGATCAAGACAGAGACCGGCAGACAGAGACCGGCAGACAGAGACCGGCAGACAGAGACCGGCAGACAGAGACCGGCAGACAGAGACCGGCAGACAGAGACCGGCAGCAACGTGTAAACTTCCAAATGTCCATTTGCATTTGAGGAGGGCGATATGGCAAAAATATGTATTTTTTTTCAGACATCTGATCTCTGTGGGAACTGAGGACAGTAGCTCTACATTAAAAAAATATATACCATCAGAAACGGAACAAAATGATTTTTTCTACATTTAGAATACTGTGTTGCACTAAATCCAGTTAAACAGGACTAATTTTGCTCTCTTTTTAATGTAACATGCAGTTGGTCAATGTTCTACAACTTCTGACGATCTACTCTACGTCCAGAAAAGCATTTTTTGTACTGTACAATAACAATGTGTCACAGTGCCCAGCCCAAATTTACATTCATATATGGTTTCAATTATAATCTGTGTGTAAATATAAATGAGTAAACAAATAAGCTGAAATCTTAGTCAACCAAGAGAATTATTGATCGATCGACTAGACAGAAATCCAGAGAGGCCATGAAGTAGTTATAATTTAGTTATTTTGAGATAACGAGTAAATTATCTTGTTATCTCGAGATAAAGTTTGTTATCTTAAGATAAGCTCATTATCTTGTGACCTCAAGATAATCAAGAAAATTGACTGAGCAACAGCTCATGGCCTCTCCGGACTTCCGTACTTTTCAGTAACCGTATGGCTCACGGGTGAAGTGGAGCATACCTGGAAAATCTGACTGAAATCCACCTTCTAAATCTACAGTTCCTTGTTGCGGCCCTACTTTCTCGGGTGCCCTCGGTGACTGGCCCTGTGTGCGGTTCTTCTGTGAGGATGTGTGGCCTGAGCTGAACACCTTCATCTGCGGGAGTGAGAGTTCCTCAAGGCTGGCGTCCTCCACTGGAGCGGTCCAAACAGCAGCTGGGCTGCTTGCGTCTGTCTGCGGTCTGCGTCTGAGCCACGACCTTCCCGGCCCACCGGCCTCCGCCACACCACGTATCTCGAGGTAGACGGTGCCGTCTTCTCTGGACCCAGTTTGGTTTTCCAAATTCAACTTTCCAAGTTCTTCCACGCTCCGGTTCCCATCCGTAGCCGAGCCGAAGGCTCTTAAACTGGGAGAAAGTGTCGCTGATAAAATTAAAATTGCTAGGATTCTCGCTTTCAGTACGAAAGACATCGCCTGTTTGTTGCTTCTGCTCACGTGCACGCTGGATTTTGCGCGCTTTCTGGCGAGTCAAATGAAGCAAAGGGAAGGAAACGTCATCACGTCACCTGTATTTGTAAAAAAACAGTCACAAGCGTCAATTAAAGCTCATTCGTGTCGAATTACTGGGCATTTACGCGCTTTGGCACCAGGTGTCGCTCCAGTCTCTACTGCCGCGTACAAAACCTATAGTTTTGGAAGCGCGTTTTTGGAGCTTGTTATCCGAGTTTAAGGACTGGTATTCCTGCGTTACACATGGAGTTTATGGGGGTTTTAGCAGCAGACAACGGGCGGAGGGCTCAACAGAGCTGGGCCAGCGGAACGCGTGGAAGTAGCTGCCATTGTTAGTACATCTGGCTGAAATGAGCAATGATGTTGCTCTGCACCTTGCAAACCATCTGAATCTGTTGATGCTTTGCTGGATAGCTTCAACTCCAAACTTATCAGTGTTATGGATGATGCACCAGTTAAAGCTAAAACTATGTCATGCCAACAGAAAGCACTGGGAAGCTACAGCAGTTCAACTCCGAAAGAGAGAATGTATGTAGGCTGAACTCAGATGGAGTGAAACCAAGCTTCAGATCCACAAAAAATCTTCGAAGACACAATAATGTGCAAAGCTAGACAATCCCTTTTCTCTAGCATTATAATTTCAACAACAGCAGAGTAGTCTTCACCACTGTTGAAAAACACAAGTCACCTACATATGGATCCTGAATTAGTATCATGAGTTTGCAAACTTTTTAACACTACAATCCATATTATTAGGCAAGCCGTTAATATCTATATCCACCAAAGAGTCCATGTCCTCTCCACCACCACATAAAGATATGATGGTTAAATGTCCCAGTTTAGGACTATCAATAATACAATTTTAATCAATACAGTGAGTAATCTCAAATCATCCACTTGTTTTGACATGTTACCAACCAACTCTTGGTGAGCGTGTTTCACTCAAAAGCAGCGGACATAATTCAGATAGTAAGCACTTCCTAAGTAAACATTTCCTAACAAATGAACAACTGTAGTTGTGAAGCCTCTCTTAAAAAATTGGTTTCAGTTCATACTTGCAAGGAAGAGACTACTTTGTAATGTTTCTGAGAGAGTGCCAGTGACCTGCGGTGTTCCCCAGAGTTCAATTCTTGAGCCACTCTAATTTATACAAGCTGCTTCTTGGCCAAATACTGCAAGACTATGGGATATCTTACCACAGCTGTGCAGATGATACTCAGATCTGCTTGGCCCTCTCCCCAAACAACTATGGTCCCCTTGACACTTGACTTTGTAAGTGCCTTGAGCACATCACTAACTGGATGGGACAACACTTTCTGTAGCTGAATAAAGATAAAACAAAGATTATTTTGTAGAGGAATAGCAATGAGAGGCACAGACTAGCTGTGTATCTGGACTCAAGAGCCCAAAATCTAAAGAACTAGTATGTAACCTTGGTGCACTAATGAACGCTGATCTTAGTTTTAGCAGTCATGTCAAAGCAGTTACTAAATCAACTTTTTAGTACCTTAAGAACATCACCTTAAGACATCATTTTGCATTCACCCTCTAATAGAACTCAACTTACAAGCTACATTATATTTACAATATTTAGCATGGCTCGTGTTGTAGAATAATAAAATGTCATAAGTGCTGAAGCAAGGACTATTTGATGGAGATATTTATAATTATGGATATTTATAATTTATTATGGAGAAACTTTATATAGTTGATAAAATAGAAAACACACATTATCTAAATGATTTATTCTTCTGGGGTGCTGGAACCAATCCTAGTGGCAGGAAACAGGAAACACCCTGGACAGGTCGCCAGTCCATCGCAGAGCTGAGAAAGAATAGTTATTGAGAAAAAAAGTCACTGCTAGGCTATTCAGAAATGAGTTACTGAGATCCAAGCTGCAATTTATTAAAGATTTTATTGGTATGCAACAGAGCAATACAGCACATTCCTGTGCCAACAGTGCAAAAAAAACGTAGGAAAGGGGAGGCTCAAGAAATAATAGGCTAATATGCAGGAAGCCAGACATGAGGCTCCCTAATTGCTTACTTACATCAAGACAACTTGCAGAAATGACAGCGGGAAAGTGGGCGGGGTTACGCGTATAGCCACGCCTTGCATTCCAAATAAGAACATGAAGGGTGTGTTCAAACCTTTAGCTCCGCCCACACCGCGGTGCACCGTGCACGCTGCTCAGTGAGCTCGGCGTAGACATCCCCACACAGCGTAGTGAATGAGTGGAAACGCCGGTGAGCTGATGTTGTCTACTCACAGTCTGTTCCTGTCCTCCCGAGGAACCTGTGACTAGCACTCTGGCTGAGGCTGTATCTGTGTGATTACTTCACAAACATAGCTAAATATACATACACACTAACGGAACGAGATGATAGGAGGACGTGGAGGACAGAAGTTACACCAAGGCGAAGAGAAGATGCTTCTTGGAACATAGCACAGGGACTTATTTCTCTCTTTTTAGCTTTTTCTGCTGCTAGGAAAAATCCAGCTGCCTTTCAGATGACCAGACAAGAGACTTAATAGAGCCAGTTTTATCTTCTGGAGCCTGAAGAGCTTTTAATGAGAGACCAGTCATCGTGCTGATAAACAGAAGTTGTTCCTTGCAGATCAGCTCAGCCTGCGTGGAGGGACTGAGCTGCTGCTGAAGTTGCCAGTGTGGCCATGGGACAGGCCAGGGTTTAGAAGAAGTAAGTCCTTGGGATGGGATGGGTGGGGTTTTCATTGCAGCAAAAACGGTGCGGGAGGGGGGCGGAGGAGGTGAGCGAAGAGAAAACGCGGAGATGGGAGAGTCTGTCTAGGTGTGGATCAGCAAATTCTCAAAATAAAGGAGAACTAAAAGCAGTGCGTAAATCTGGCAGGTAACGTTTTGATATCTGTGACCTACGCGAGGCTCGTTGCTGTCAAAGATGTGGTAAAGTTGTTGATTTGGTAGTTGAATTTCCAAGTCATGCAAGCTCAGAATATGCAAGATGACAGCGCAGGATTGTTCTTATCTGAGGCGAGGTGATAACCGGAGAAATGACTGCTGAAAATCTGCATGCAGCAGAGCCGAGTAGCGGGTCCGTGACGTTGCGCGAATGCTGTCATCATCTCTGCAGCTGCAGACTCATCGAGCCCAAAGTATTCACGCGATTGGGATCGACTGTGCTGTAAATGTTGATGCAGACACCGATGTTCAGCCGAAAGCAGTCAAAAATGGCATTGCCCTCTTGCTCAGGGTCGTTCTCATTGTTTTGGGGCGAGCTTCCATTAAGCATAAAATATGCATGTGTTGGCAGCTGACATGGAGGTTAAAACAGTTCTGGCACACCTGACGTTGTTTTAAGGCAAAAAGGCAGATACACTGTGGTGCTGGAAAATGTATTGTACGTTTGTCCATCCATGGAGAGCATCGGCCTGCCAGCTCAGCTGACCATAGCGTGCAGAACAGGCACTTTTCTTGCTTTACTGAGGTAGTACTTTCTGTGGCTTCTAATGAGGGTCCTTCATACAGTCTGCAATGTCCTTCATTATTAGTCTTTTCTTTTTTAATAGGTTAGAATTCCACCTTGTCTTCACTTCCACCTCTTAAGAGTATGTTGAAGGCTTTGGCTGGGATTTGTTTCCTTCATCTCACTACAATCTTCTTCCTTTTCTGGGCCACTATCGATGATGTAAGTGGTACCTCTCTTATTTGGGCTTCTCTTGTCTTTTATTTTGTTCCACAGACAGATGTGAAAGCTAGTTATAGTATAGTTATAACATAGTGCAAAATGCCTGTATAATTAAATGGTTAAGATGTAAACAATGTGATTCAGAGTGGTTTGGTGTGAAATGCTCAGTTATAGTACAATGGTGGTCGGAACCAGATATCCAAAGTCTGAGGCCTCTAAAAGCAACAGCAAAGAAAGATAAACATGAAACGGTCACAAATCTGTTGCATAATGACTAAGACATTATTTTGGACAATGTTTTGGTCTAAAATTTATATTTTTTAAATATATGCATGGCTGTACACGCAGGACGTTGTAAGGCAAAATAGTACCCAAAGAAAACTTTTTTTCCCAGATTTATTACTGTTTTACTAATAAAAACATTACATATAAAAACTCATAAGACATCTGGAGGTTTACTGGTCAGTGTGAATAGTAAATGAAATGGCTACATTTGCGTTGTAGACGTTGCAGCCTCTGGTTCCTATCATCACCACTGTAAAGAAATCCAGTTCGTAAATTCCTTTCAATGCACCATTTCACACCAAACAACTCAGAATTACTTCATTTACATCTCAATGACTGAATTTGGCAGAAAGTTTGAAAATTCTGAAGAATCTGTACACTTTATATGGAGCATTTATAATTTTATGATACTTTTCTTGCATTCGAAGGGTCAGTCATCTATATACAGATTAAGGCTAAAGACTTTTCAGTGTAGTGTGGTTGATTACAGTTTAATATGTATAGTTTTTATACTATTTGTAGGCCTGGTGGTTTACAAGGACCCTGTACACAGACCTGTGGGGGAGGTGGGTGATGGAGAATAATGATGATGTCTGGGTATACACGGACATACCCACGTCTTATCGAAAAGGTGAGCAAAGCTCATAACTTATGAATTGAGAACATGCTTTGAAGTGCGCATTGTGCTGTTGAAGTGAAGAAAGGTTCACTTCAAGAAGCTCCTAACATCTGTAACTGTGGGCTAAAGAACTCAATCTCTTTTTTTCAGATTACCTGCAGGCAGTGCAGGCCTTTGCAGTGTTGGCCTGCCTCTTTGCAGTCTTCTCCTTGTGTATGTTCATATTCCAACTCTTTACAGTGGGGAAAGGACAGAGGTTCACCCTCACAGGTGTCCTGCAGCTGATCTCATGTGAGTATCGGAACATGAAAAAGCTTAACTTCAATTTATTAAAACAACTCAGGAAAACCACATTTCTCTTCGGAACATTCAGCATTCCTTAGTTGCTTTAATACCTTCCTTCATGTATAGCTTTGTCCTTCTAAACCTGTTTTTAAGGGGAAAAAATAGTTTTGTTTTTTTTTACATTATATTTATTTTATTTATACAGGTTCATGTTTTTGCCAGTAGACAGTGTTTGTGACCAACGATGTGCAGGAGATTTGGTTTTCCTAGATCATTGTTTTAGTTCATTAAGCCACACCCACATTAAGCCTTTTCGTTATGATCAGTTTCAGCAGAGAGAGAAAAGGCTGATGTGTTAGCTTAGCATCTAGCTACTGACCTTTCAACTTGCATGTAAATCCAATCATCTAGATCCTTTCCTGTTTATTTCTATGCAGTTTTGGCTCATTCGATTCAGCACTGGTCCTCCACCTACCCCTCACTCAACAAGCCGACACTTATAGTTCTCTCTATTAATCAGTTTGACTCCAGTCTTTTCTACCTCTTTTGCAAGATTAAGAACTTTTCTTTCTGTCCAGGCTTCTGTATCATGGTAGCCCTGTCAGTCTACACGGACCACTTCCACAGAGGTGAGAAGGATGGCTGGTACGGCTGGTCGTACATCATGGCCTGGTTTGGCTGGCTGCTAACCCTGCTCACTGGTGTCATCTACATCATCCTGCGCAAGAGGGTGGATTAAATCACAATCACTGGATTAAGCCATGACACGGATTATAGAAACTACTTTGTCTAATAATGCTAACATTGTTAATAATGGATGAAAGCTAGTAAGAGCTAGTTAGCAAACAAAATCAGGTTGGCAAATTCCTATTAGCTTTCATTTGTTGTTAGCCACATTAGCCTTTTGGATTAAGTGTTCCTTTTGGAGAAGTCCAATTGCCAGATTAGGTTTAAAAGAGGGCAAATATTAAGACTAGTCCACACCAAAATGCTGTTAGTAGCTATACTCAGCTGAAAATCCTGTTTAGGCCAACCATGAGGCCAAGTCTGTGTCTAGTAAACTGGACCTTGGTGTGCTTGTGTCAGATGTATTTCTGTCTCTGTGGATTTGCTGATCCTCAGATCACCAATACATCAAAACGTCATAGTGAGTAGGCTACTAAATCGCCTACATGCGCTGGACAAAAGAAATAAATGCAACAATTTAGCCATTTTGCCAAAGCTTAATCAAAAAAAAAGTGTCAGCTGTTACAAGCAAATGATGGACTCACCAGATACTAATGTGGGAATTCCCAACCAACCCTGTTTTTGCAGGGTTTCAGTAAAAACTGTTGCGTTTATATTTTTGTTCAGTGTGCACAGATCATTATAGAGTCTTTTCTTTGTGACTGAAAACCACCAAGCACTTCCACAGAGGGCTCATGTGGCATATTGTAAAAAGTTAAGGTTGTTACATTTGAAGTGAAATATAATTTAAATGAGTTATCTTTCAAAGATGACAGGTCATGGAAATTATGAATCGTGGATACTTACAGCACAATCTTTTTCCTCAGCAAAACAGCTAGTTAATCAGTTACTAAGTTAATTAAGCATTCAACAGCATTAAAAGATTTTACTGCACTAAGTATAAAGAACAAATAACTTATTTCCTTTGAACAAAACAAATCAAAGGACAAAGTTGCCCAAAAAGTGATTAGAAATTAAAGGGATTCTCCACCCACAAATGCTAACATGGCTAATGAGAAATGAAAGTCAGAGGAAATGATTTTGATGTGCATTAGGTTAACTGGAGCTTGCCAGTTTCCATGTATTATCAAAGTCCTTTAATAAGAAGAGTAAGACAAGAAAGTAGGAATATAAGAAGGTTATGCAAAACAAGGTGAAAAGAAAATGTATCTAATATGTGTATAGAAAGATTAACTGTAAATATATATAAAACATATATAGACATTATAAGAATGTAGTTTTGAAAGAATACCTAAAGATATGCATACAAGAGTATTTGTTTGTAGAGCCACCAATAATTTCTATCGAAACGTCACAGCACACTGTGTTTTATTTTTGCATTGGTCTTTTTCTTTGCTCACTTTTACAATATTTCAGTGGTTTCGACTTAGGTGTACTTCTGTTTATGTTATGCCATGTCGGATTTTTTTTTTTTCTATAGAGATTTATCACATATGGGCTCAGGGCCAATACAAGTTTAAGAGTAATGGTTTATGTTATCTATTTTACAGTCTGGTGCTGCAACAACTTTCTGTATGTTTTAAACTCCAATGTTAGTGGTAAACACAGTACAGAAAGATCGTTTTAAATCTAAAGGCTTTCTAACACCTTATTGTAAACTATACACTTTACCATATCATGGAAAAAAAGAAGCTCGTCACCCTAGATAACTATGATATTGGTTATGATATAGTTTTCATTGGTGCGGTCCTGCGATCACTGTACCTGTTGTAAAGAGCACTGTTGTGAAAGCTCATGAAATGTTCACATGGTCCTGTGATTACACGGAGCACCCTAGAACCTGGATTTTGAATCTAGAAAGCCACTAGAAAGATGAAGGAATGATCAAGAGAGATTGTAGTTTTGCCATTTTGATTTGATCTAATATATCATTGCTGTCAGAAACTTGTATCTCCAAGATGATAACATTACAGCAGAAAGTAAAAAATATCCTTTAATGTAATGTACATTAAATCAACTAAGATTTAGGGGTGGGAAAACATATGATACTTAAAGACATTTTCTCGATAGGCAGTATTCAGTGTAAAATAATCAGTAGTGCAACATTTAAAAAAAAATATTATCAAAAACTATGATTACAATGATATTAAACAATTTACACACTGCACTATACAAATCAAATGTTTTTTGTAATAACACATGCAGTTGGTAGTGTTCTTTAAAGTTCTATCCAGAAATAAAGTCAGAAAAGCATACTGTGACATAATATGGTGCAATTTATGAAGATAACTATAAATTCCAGCATGTTGGCCAGCCCGATCAAGATTTTATTTATTAAGTAATATTGCAGGAATTCTATTGGTCTGTTCATCCTGAAATATTCACACAATGTAAAGGCCAGCATGGAGTTACAAGTTTTGATAAGACAGCAAAAATATGTTTCTGTGGCTGAAGAACAGAACTCTGTCATAGAAAAGATAATAAAGTTTGAATCAATTCAATTTTTTAGGTGAGGTTATCTGGTTATGATGTTCCTAGGATGGTTCTTCTTGGACTCTAGCTTAGATCACATGAAATCAATGATGTTTTTACCTTTGGTTTAGCATGAGCTGTGTGGAGAAATGGCAAATGAAGCAGACAGTGTAAAGAAAGACCTGCATTTCAATAATCACACCAATAAAAAAAAGTGACTATGATTACTACTTGACTTTATTTACAGCAATGGTCAATACATCTCAATACATTTTTTTAATAAATATCAAAAATCTTTTAACTTATTTAAAACATCACCATCCAAAATGAATACCATACATGAAATCAAGATGGAGGACAAAATAGATCATGGGAACCATTTTGTTAAGAGTCCAAGTTCCTTTTAGTATTTCACTGACATATCAGCTTAAATGAATGTTCTGTTTTCTATAACAAAATTCAATGTATACACATGTACAGTTCCATCGCTCTATCACTGACCTTCTGTAAGACTCCCTTGCTTAATGCACCAGGCATTGGAAAAGGAATGTTTCACAGAGTGATACTGTATGGGGGTGTGCACGACTGGGCTGAACTAAACTCCCTGACCAGAGGGGGTGATTCTTTCCTGGACAACAAGGTGGAGGAGGTGATTCTGCTCTGCAGTAAGAAGAGGCCTGAAAAAAAGAGAGTGTGTAAGTGAGCAAGCAAGGAAAATAAACAGTAAAAATGGGGTGAAAATGGAGGTAAAATGAGAGATGGAGCAAAGGAGGGAGAAAGCAAGTGAGAGAAAAAGCAAAAACAATGGGTTGAAGCGGAGGGGAAACCATAAATGGCATGTTTTATAAAATATAGTGTGTGAGAACACTCAAGTGTTAGAATATGCCATTAACATCATCTACCTTATCAGAGAGGAAGTGGCAGTGTAAAATACACAAATGCACAGTGATGTATCTATTCAAAGGTGTCCATTTTTGAACCAATTAAAATAAAACAAGCAATAATTTTTTGGCTGGCATGAAATCCTCACGCTACTGTGTAAATATTCCACTACTGCGCAGAATATTTATATTCCACTACCGTGTAAATAGTTTCTCCAGTCACATTTGTGCATTCAGTGTATTTTTTATAATCAAATTTGAATCAAATTGCGGTGAAATCTGACATTTCATGATGCTCTGAATTATTCTCTGAGGAATCATAAACTAGATCATTGTGAATTATTAAGAAATGCATTCGTAAGTTTTTACTATGACTAGCCTGAATCAAGTGCAGGTAACTCACCATAATTCTGTCTGGAGAGACTTGAGAGATTCTGTATCTTTCTCCTGACATGCCATCTGCAAAACAGCAGTCACTGATAAAGATCCCATCCATACTGTGTAATATGAAGTACAAGCTATGCATTGTTAACCAATCCATAAACATATCAGTCATCTCCAAGCTTTAATTATCAAAGTATCAAACGGCATTCATGCATCAGACATGAATAGTTTTCATCCTATATATGAAACCAGCTGATATTAGACCCTCGCTAGATATGACTGTATAAAAGAAATTTACCACCACAGACTGCAGCAGGAGGAAGACATCTTCTGGGAGGAAGTTCACTGAAAAGGCAGAAACAAGCTTCAAGTTTAGCCACTCACTAAGAGAACACAATAAGAACTACAAACATTCTATTCTCTCAGTTGGGCTTCTCAATATATTGTTTGGTATGTTGGCATGTTGGACTTCGCAATACTAACATTGCAGAAGGCTGCTGTTTTTCACTGCATACTGACCAAACCTCAGATGATCAACATGTGTTTCTGTGGTTGTTGTGATAGAACACGGCACTGACATGCATTTTTTGGTGAGTATTTTTTTTGTCATTAACCATGTTACATCAAGAGTTCATCAGAGTGAAGTATTTGGTCATATTGCGCAAGCCTACATCCAACTAAAGAACAATACACACTAATTTGAATATTTACTCACAAGTCACATGTTTCTCAAAGGTAACCAAGATATTAATCATTTCTTTTGAGACACAAAAAAAGAACTCTGTTTACACCTGATATTAACATACATCTTGGGTGATGCTATCATCAGTGGACAGCTTTAAGCGCAGTTGCGAACTCAAAAAGACATTGTGATCAGATCACTCAAACCACCTTTGGAGGTGGTCAGGGATGCACACAGCCACATAACCTTTGTAGAGTGAACGCTAAAGCTGCCCTAATGAATACACAACAACACTGAAGGACCTCCTCATCAACTGCAGCTGTTTGCGTTACTTCTTTCTTAGTCTTTATCTAGGATTTGTGTATGCGTTTGCATCCATGCGATTCAACAGCTCGTGTGTGTGTGTATATATATATTTTTGTCCAACTCAAATGCAGCGAGAGACTGCATAGTAAATTGTACCCCTCCTCCAGCCACGAAATCCAATCAAAACTGGTCACTAGAAATGCAATTAAGACCCATGGAAATGCCAGGTGTAGCCAGATATAAGTCTCGCTATCCACTTGTGATAAGATCACACAAGACTGATATTAATACCAATTTAGTGTGACCAGGACCACACACTTACCTTGACTGTGTGAGTCGAAGGATTCCCAGGCGTATCTCTCTAGTGTCTGTGCATGTTCCGGCAGTAGCTTCTGTGGGGGAGGCTAACACAAATGCCAGGTTATATAGATGTAAATCGCAATAACACATTACTGATTCACTACGTATGTTAATAATTAACCGATTAACCGTTAACTGTTACATACACAAATGTTCCAAAAATGCTTTCAGTTAAAAAGTTAGTATAATTTCCAATAAACAACTTTTATTAGAACAGGCATTTATTTCATCCAACCTGAGAACCATATTTGAATTGTAGGCATACGGGCACAAGAGCTAAGCGATGCACAGCTAAGTCTTTGTGGAGTCTAACTCTTGACTCCTGAAGCTGGGGCTAACAGAGTTGACTCCTGAATTCTGATTCATTTTAACTGATAGTGCAGGAGCCACTGAATGAGAACTAAATTGATACACTGATAAAGTCATTGACAACAGAAATTAAACTATCCTAAATGTAGTTTACAGAATTACCACTGTGATATTTAGTCACATAACATGGACCTCTGCCTGGCTACAACCAACTCTCTTACATGTCAAGTTCCTTCTGTCGATTTTAGCTTTAAGCTACAGCTTACAAATGTGTTTGTTAGCTAACAGCTAGTCTATGTAGTTAGTCCCACGACAAAAAAGTCTGAAATATGTGACCTACAGACAGTCGTTTAAACTATGCATATGAACTTCAAGCTAGCCCTGGTCAGGCCATATATGTTAATTAACTTATATGTGGTAAATATAAGTAAGACTACATAATGATATCACTATATCTGTTACATTACACTGCGTTTTTTTTCATTTAATGAAGCCTAAAGCCTTGTTTATATAAAATGCACCACTGTGTTTGATGTTTTATGGGTCATGTCCACGAATGTACGTTTGTTGTTTAACAGCTAGTGTAATAATTGTCAGCTTTTAGTCAAAATGTTTGCTAAAATTTGAATCCATATGACTCACTTCATTCACAGTCTCGATATACAAGTAATAATCAAAGTATCTCTACGTCAGTGAAACTTGAGAAGGTGGGGTGTTTTAAAATGAGAATCAGATTTTCCAGCATATCAGCTTAACCACAGATAAACAATCTGGTTTCTGGTGAATGCAACCAGTCAGCCTCATTCTACGCAATTTGCTCAAACCCACAGCAAAACTGTATTATCCACACATCACATTATCACTCATGATGGGCATGTCTAATACTATTCATTTAGTGAAACGTTATATTGAAAATTATACCCCCTCAACTTCCTAGATAAGACCATTAGCATGATAACAGTTCAATGGAAGCGTACAGCTAGCTTTATTATTACTGGTGCCCTTTGTAAAGATTAAAAATTGTCACCAAAAAGTGTGTCTGTGGTGCAATCTCACACTGAAAATATGATACAATACTGAATTTAACATTTAACTAATGTGAACTTAGTCTACAAAAACAAAGAATCTTCTCAAAAACTGCATTTAACAAAACGATGCGTCACCATTACTGACCTCGGGTTTACTAATTTGTGCAACCTGCGGATATAACAGCATTTTCCTACAATTTTCATTTTTTCCCTTCGTCAGATTATGCTAATTAACTACAAAGACATTTTTGTGACCTTTTTTCACCTCTCTTTACCAAAGGGTGCCAATAATTACTAAGCTCACTGTAACATTATAATAAGAGAGATATATTTGTCTACGAGTCATCTTCTTAACATGACTTCTTGCAAAAGAAGACCTAATGAATTTGGGCCTACCTCGAGCAGCATGAGCAGGAGCACTCTGGAGATTTCACACTTTGCTATTATGTCCATAAACGCACCTGAGAAAGAAAACAGGAACTCAGTAGTTGCTTATACATAGCAGGGTGTACTGTGTATAGAAGCCTGCCAACCATCAATATCTCAAATAATCTGTAACCACTTTAAAGGCAAATTCCACTATTCTAAGTCAAAATAAATGGCTCATAAGCTGAAATGTAGGACATACAACGAATATAAAATGTGTAACGCACAATGAACCCTTAGTGTTATGTCCACTCCAGAATTGTCACCCTTCATGAAAATAAGCCAAAATCAATATAATAATTAAACCACATATTTGATGAATGACATTTCAGGTTTAGACAAATATTTTTTATTTTACAAAACAAAAGTTTTCTTACTTATTTTTAGAAATTGTAGATTTTAAAAAATTGGGCACCCCCATTATTAATATTTGATATGCCTCCCCTACTGAAAATAACAACACTAAGCCTTTTTCCTTAATTAATCTTTAACTTTTTACATTTTTTTAAGATGTCTAACAAGGATGGAGAGCACTTATTGAGAGATCTTGGACTACTCCTCCACACAGAACATTTACAGTCACTTCATATGCCTTTAACGACAGTTCCAGTAGCATTTTGCAAATTTCAGGCCAAGCATTTTCTGGCTTGGTCTTCAAACTTTTGGCCCACTTTTGTGTTTGTATTTAATGATAATTTGAACAATTTTACAAATTTTTTAGAACCATTTCCTAATACGTGAAGGTACATAACCTTCTGTCTCATTTGAGTTGACCTCTTTTTGATTTTACTCATGTTGATTGATGACAGGGTTTTTACACATGTAACCTCATAGTTATATCCCAGGGACACAGGAAATGGTCATAGACCTTGGAAACTAGGAGCAACATTTTAAGGAACATACTAATCATTATATGTACTGTTTATTGTATATGACTGTTTTTGCAAACCTTGAACACCAATAATTTGGGTGCTGACTATGCATCTAAAGTGCCTAATGCACAAGCATTCAGAAACATACTTCTCTATTATGCAGAACATCTCTAAATATATCTGTGCTCATCTCACCAAAAACATACACTACTTTGTTAAGAATTGTTCCCATGCTATAAAGTTGTCATTTCAAAAATGCCAGATTTTGCAACAACAGCAAAGATACACATGTATATTGCTATAAATATACATAATACAACATTCTAGATCTAAGAAAAAAAATATAGTGAAAATAAATATGGCCACAGACTAGATGCAGTAATATCCATCATGGTCTCACCGACAGGGGTGTTTGTGCCGGGAAGCTGCAGCCCTCTTTCCTGACACATAATCTGCATTTCCGAAAGCACAGCCAGCGCACCATCATAATCACCTGTCAACCAAACAATCAAACATTCTATGACAATTGTCTTGGCAGCTAGAGAGCAGCTTCTTGAAATATGCAGCTTTCTAAACATCAAATTTTAGCAAAACAAACTTGCCTACCATAGTGTGGACAGCATGTGCCCTAACTCAACCAAACAAGCATCACAGCAATAAAGATTTTGTTTAAAATTGTTTTAAAGCCCATTTTCTAACTTTGGACTCACGTGTCAGTATTTTGCAGGAGGCCATCTCCCATAGAGACAAAAGAGACTCAATAGGGGTCTGAGTCTGAAGCTCTGCAGCTCTCTGAAAGTGCACTACAGCCTCTCCGGGCCTGTTCATCTCCTGTACACACAGACACACAAACGATGAAACACATTTCTGCATTTTTCAGACAGCCTATAGATCTCCAATGGATAATTCTTACCTTGAGAGCATTGCCAAGTTCAAGGGAGAGACTGGCAGCCATCACTGGCTGATTCATCTCAATATATACCTAAGAAACATTATAAAATTGCTATATGAACCCACAGATTCTTCCAATTCCATCCACACACGTGCAGGAGTGTAACTAGCAATGGTCCTCCACAGCTGGACTCCGTTATCAAATTTAGTAGATGAATACAAATAGAGAACTTAAATGGTACCTTTATGGCAAAGCTGTAACAATTAAGGGCGGCCTGCAGGTGCTCATCAAAGCCTGGAGCCTGCAAAGCTCTGTTCTCCTGCTCTGAGGCTAGGAAGAGTCGAGCAGCATCAGTCAGAGCCAAGGCCTCCCCCGGTGCATTAAACAGAGTCTGCTCACACCTGGACAACATATGACAATGATAATAACACAGCATGCTCACAAAAACAAGTAACAATGTAAATAACCCTCTGTTCTGCTAATAGATCAAATACACAGACCCCAAAAATGGGAGAGTTACTCAAGTATCAGCCAGGAATATCAAGAACCTCAACTATACAAAGTATTGCTTGCTCAGCATATTAAAGCAGAGTGTAGTGGCTTATAGTCACTGACACAAAAGAAGTACACTATATGTTCAACGGATGGCAGTTTGCAGCTGCTGCTGAGTGTCCTATTCTATCGGCAATGTCTTTCTATAGAAATTACACAAACTGTGTGCAGTCGAATGCCCGCGTCCGTAACGGGCACACCATGAAATAGCTCAATTCTCTAATAAAAAAGGGGAGTCTGGACGCTTTTGGACATGGTGTGAGCACCCCTGTCTGAGTATCGAGTACTTACCGAGCCATGGCCAGATTACAGAAGGCTGCATACTGAAGACAGTCCTGCTGTTTCAGCTCTTTAGCTAGTTGACCTGGAAAGAGAAATGACATAACATGATTGGCCTGCACTCTCTAGCTATGAGACCAAACACATATGGCAGCATCTACAGTATGTCTATTCAGTTGACGTTTACCATTTCAGTTGAGCTGCTAGCTAAAAAGAGTAACTCACCAAACTGTTCGCTTGCTTCAGCGACGTTGGGCTTCCGAAGAAAGCGTCTTTGAGGAGGAAAAACACACAAATATAATTTTAGAAGGACTCATTTTTGATTTGGCTGTGTACCAACCGAGCATCAAGGCTAAGACGAAGAGTGAGTTAACTTAGCTGGCTGGCTATCTAGTCTATCCTTCTACTGTGATGAAACAAAAATGGTAATCATATCAGTTACTGTCGAAGTATTATCTGTTGGTCTTTGCTTAACAAAGCGAAGTGTGGCTTCACTAAAGCCACCTTAAGCTGGATATGACTTATCAACATTTAGCTGGCTGGCTTAGCCAGGACAGCTAACTGTTAGCCAGCTAGCTACAGAGATCCTTGTTTACCGTTTTATTGAACGACAGTAACGGCGTACCAACGACAAAGTACACCACTATTAGAGAGTTAATGTCATGCTCAAATACTGTCGCCACAGATAAACACAGTACACCTCTTACTTCTTGAGCTTGTTGGACACCGCGCGATAGCGCGTCAGGAAATCTCCCTCTGCTGCCATTGTTGACACATGAACAGGGCGTGAAGGAGTGACTGAGAAAGACCGAAGCGTTCCTATTGGCTATTGGGCAGGTGTGCTTTAATTTGATTGGTTCACGTGTCAGTGGGCGGGCGGGTCTGTCACCGGACCCAGACAGGAGCTTAGCGGCTCCTAGCGGCGCTGGCGAGTTTTCAGCTGAGAGGAAATTAACTGACCTCTCTATAAATTATTAAATAAGTTGAAATATTTTAAAAGTATTATTTTTAAAACAATAATACCAGAAACGTGAATCGCAATTATAAGCACATCCTTGGATATCTAAGCCTATTCTGCTTAAAGGGAACCCTGACTGTCAGGCAAGCGGGTCAATATGCCCAGTACTGTTGAAATATGTTGTATTAACTACGCAAAACAATTCATTTATTATTGTAAATGTCTCTACTAGTAGGTATCCATTTTTGATACAGTATCAAACGTTTACTTTTTTTCTCATCCAATGAGCAAGGAACAGCGAGCTAAAGATTTCACTTAACTCATGTATGTTATTCGACCTTTCCACCTTTAGCTGGAGCATAACATCACCCAAGAGTGATCTCACACCTCAGTTGGTAGGAAATGATTTTCTTCCTAAACTGTGAAATAGCCTTTCAGAGAACATCATGAATGCACGTTTGGTGTTTTAAAATCAGATTGAAAACGTATTTATTTAGGTCAGCATGTGCCTAGACTATTTTGGCTCATTATCACCTGTTGTTTGCTATTGTGTTATTTTCATTCAGACCGTAATGTTTTATCTTTCCAATGCTTTACTTACATTCCTGCATATTTTGTATATTGTGAACTTTACAAAGCACTTTGTAACTAAAATAAAAAGCGCTGTATCAACCAATTTAATTTATTGAATTGTTAGTAGTAGTATCAGTAGTAATAGTAGCCATAGTAGCGGTTAGAGTAGAGGTAGTAGTAGTCTTTAATGCATTTTCTGTAAGTCATCCCGATCACCACACTTGTGAAGACAAATGCTCCATAGTAACCAAAAAATTAAATTAATTTTAAAAAATGACACTTAGACGAAGTGGAAAATATTTGTTGTTTTTTTTTAAATTTTTAGTGAGAAAAACACAATTCTTGTAAAAGTATATATAAAGCTTATAGGATTACACACAGCTCTTTCAGACATGCCAGCTGTATTTACAAAGCATTAGTATTTAATCACAGGTTTTCATAGACAGATTCAAAAATTCCTTCCTCCACCTGAGACGTCTTGGCCTGAAAGAGAAATAATCACAAAGCAACTATCACAAAAAAATCACAATATATCATTACAGTGACCATTCTGAAGTTTGCTAACTCATCCTGCTTTTAGATTTTGACCAACCGTTTCCTCTGATGTGCACTTTGTACTTTTCCTTCTGACTTGGTCAACATTCAGCACGTCATAAATGGAGACCGGCCTGGGTTCAAGTGCCTGAGAGAAGGTATGAGAGAAAGAAAGACAAAAATGGATGAAAGCTCTACAGACACTCTCAAAACAAATACAGTGTGTTATTTTTCAACATGTTAGCCTTTCCAGTTAAGGACACACGTTGTATTACTTTAAACACAATAGTACTATATTATTACTTTCAACACATCAGTATTATATTATTTCACACAGGTAGTTCACACAGATTTTGTAAAAGGCACTGTTGTACCTCAAGTCTACTGTATTTAAAGTGGAATTCCACCTTTTTTCAAACTTTCTGTATAATTAAATGGTTAAGATGTAAACAAAGTCATTCAGAGTGGTTTCACATTTTTGATTATATGTCAAATTGCTAGAATAGTTTGAGAAATATTTAGCCTATAATGTATTTTTAAAATCCATTTGTGGTGGAGAGGTATGTGCAGGATGTTATACCCAAAGAAAACTTATTATTTTAGATTTACTACTATTTTACCATCAGCAGCATTACATATAAAAACTCAAAGATGTGTCTTGGTTCACTGGTGGTTTTGGATAGTAAATAAAATGTCTATATTTGTGTTGTAGACATTGTGACCCCTGGTTCCTATCATCATCATTGTAAATAAATCTAGTCTATGAGTTTCTTGACACATTTCACATAAAACCAACCTGAATTACTTTGTTTACATCTCAACGATTCACAAAAGTTGAAAAATCAGAGAAACTCCTTTAAGACTTTTATGTTGCTGCTGTTGGAACAAAACCTTGTAACTCCAAAACGATAACTTTGTGAGAGAAGCAAAAAATTACTTTACCTTTTATTTTTTTATTGTGTCTCATTCAAAAAGCAATTCAGACTTAAACACTCCTTACAACTCCAACTGGAATGGGTGGAGCTTAACAGTTGTGGGCTGAATAGTCAAATATATTTGAATGTGTTCAATCAATGAATTAAAAACAAGTTTTTTGCAGCTTATATATATTTAATGTCAGTATGTATATATATATATATATATATATATACATACTGACATTAAATACAAACCCAATTCCAAAAACTTTGGGGCAGTATGTAAAATACTAACAAAAATAGAAGCATTGATGAGTAAATTCTGTTTGACGTGTATTTAATTGAGAGTAGAAAATCATAGCATTTATGTTTTACCTTATGAACTTCATTGTTTTTATAAATATACACTCATTCCAAATTTGTTGCCTGTGACATCTCAAAAAAGTTGGAATATATCATTCCAAAGAATGCCCTTGCACTCTCTATCAGGGCTTAAATACCATAATCTCAGCCCTCAGTAGATTCTAGGCTGTACCATTTTGGCTTTGGTATATAATGCACATGAAGCTTTGGAGATCTCCCCCTCATAGATGATACAGTATTTCCAAAAAACATTATTACCAGTAAGAACTCTCAGCCAGCTTTAATTAACATTTATTTCTAACTTCTTTTTTACAGGGTCTCTACTGGTGTGCTCCTCCCTCCCTCGGTTACTGTGAAGAGGATGCACACAGCAGCACCACCTTTTATTTATGCACCCAGGTGGATGAAAACATCACACAACATACATGTAGAATTTGCAATTTGATTCTAACATTTCTTAAGGTCCTTTTTCTTAAGTGTCTCAAAAGGAAGCATTAAATAAACAGTCCTGGCGATGAGTCAGATTTCTACCTTCTTCCCAGGAACGTTATTTTTAAACTGCTGTATTTTTTGCTAATGCATTTTTGGCAACCCATCGACCCATCGGCTCATAAAAGACTAGACCTTTCCTGGATGCTACTTTCATAGCAAAGCATGATTGCACCACCAGTTTAAGATGTTTTTGAATATTTCACAGCGTTCCTAGTTTTAAATTGGCCCTTTTCCAACTTTTTTGAAAGTTGTTGCAGGCATCAGTTTAAAAAAGAGCGTATATGTACAATAAACAATGAAGTTAATACAAAAAAAAAAATAATAATTATCTTGTCTTTGTACTGTTTCCATTCAAATACAGATCAAAGTAGATTTTTAAATTACTTCAAACAATTTTCTGTTTGTTCTGCATTTCACATACTGTCTCAACTTTTTGGAATATGGTTTGTATGTTAATCTAGTGATAACACAGAAAATATTTTGATTCACACATGGTTAAAAAAATGGTAAAAAAAAGGTATTCCATCAGTGCGTTTATGTGTGTAGGTGGGATTATTTCTGAAAGTGACGGCAAACAAAATGCTGTCTTGCTTGATTTTTTAGCTTGGTTCATTGCGTAAATCCTGACATGTTCACATTCTGAGGATCTTTCATGATTGCAGCAATGTTGCACTCTGGGGGATTTTGAATATCTTGAGGCATTTTGGAGGGAAAATGTCCTGCTCAGCAAAATGCAGTTGAGTTGTTGAGTCAGCTGGTTTGAAAATGTAAACTCCGGTTTAAGGAATTGTGAATAAGCATCTAAAAAAACCACACTGCTTTCTGTGGTTTCATGTAGGCTGTGAATCATAACATTCTCATATGACATAATGATCATATGTTTACAGATTGGATTGGCTCACATGAGGTGAGGCGCTGAGGCTGGATCTATGTGAAAGTAGAAACTAAAACTAAACACTAATAATAAAAAAAACAAACACAAGGAAAACCACAGCTCACAAAGTACCTTAGCTCGATCTCTGGATTTTCTCACAACAGTGGATCTCTGTTTACCTCTGTTGTTGTGCTGCATGGCTAACTCGCTCCAGGGCTGGTCAAATTCAGGATTTCAAAACATAAACAGCTCTTGGACCATTTAGAGCGAGCTTCTGTCCAATCAGGGACAGCGTTCTGATAGAGGTGGACCCCTCTGGTTGTTTTTGGATCACCTGTTTTTCCTTTATGTTGTTAATCACATGAAAAATAATGCTTTTCAGATGGGACGTAAATCATACTACATAGATATCAGTAATATAAGGCATGTATTACTACAAAAAACTAAGCTAAGCACCTCATGGAACTGTCTTACTCACTCACTCATGTTTAGCAGGCTGAAAATTCTCGGCAGAGGGCGCCATTTTAGTCAATAGCTTTTGATGTTTCATAAGAGCAGTGCTTTGCATCAATGCTTGTCCTTGTTAAGGTTATGAACACTTCACTTTCTATGTATTATTTACATTATATGTTATATTTTTTTTAGATAAAGGAAAGCAAAAAATCCACATTTATACACACGAAAAGGACGAATCAGGGAGGAGACATATGAGGAGACACGAGGCGGAGCCAAGACAAGGAAATCATGGCAGACTGACTTTATATTCAAATGGAAATTTGAGGTAAAATTAGTTATTTTATGAAATAAAACAGTGTCAGAGCTTTGTTACCTTCATGTAATTGAGGTCATTATACTGACTGATAAATTGAATGTCCTTGATTCAAATAATTTCCACATTAATAAAAGATACATAAAATCAACACTATTATTGTTGAAAGTAAACTGAAAGACAACATTGTGTTGATGTGATATGTTGCATTCATGAAGGAATGATGTACACTTGTAAATTCAATGCATCACTTTTTTCAGCGTAAAAGAAAAGCTAAACACAAGTCTGACAAAGAGCTAGATCAACATACATATAATCGCTGTTGCAAATTTTTAATTTTTTTTACTTTTTTGTATAAAGTGAAAACTTATGTTAAAATTTCAGGGTGAACAGAAACAGTCCCAAATTAATTGGTAAAACATCTTTTTACACTGACTTCCATTACAAGTTATTTTTTTTTCCCTCTCCTATAACGTTATTATGTTGGATATAAAAAGCTTTATTTACACAGAGAAAGATAACAGTTAACTGATGAAAGGATGAGGTGAAAAATAGGCTTACCGTGTACACTGATTCAGAGTTTAGACCCTGAGCTCTCATGCCTACATTGCTCTGTTTGTTTTTGACTTTCACTCCATCTCCACCCTCCTCTGACTTGAGATGATCCTTAAAGTTTCAAAACAAAATGAACACTGTTACTGCAATATGAATAAATTAGCCTGAAAGTCTGATGGAGCTCAGTTGGTTGGTCAAATCCAACCAAGGAACTACCAATAGCATAATATCGCTGTTGTCGGAACAAAACCTTGTATCTCCAAAATGGTAACTTTACAGGAGAGAGAAAAAAACATACTTTACTTTTAATCTAAGTCAGTGGAACCAGACGTTTTTGAAAGTCATTTTTGGCCATTTCTTTTAGTCCATTCATCATGAAATTTATACACAATGTAAAGGACAACAGACATGTTCAAATTATGTCAAAAACTGAAAAACGCCAAAAATGGAGATACAAGGATTTGCCCCAACAGCAGTGATATGCAAGTGTAAATGCTAATGCTGCCTTTATGTGCTACACAATTACCTTAAATACAGAATTATCACAAACACAAGTTCCTGTCCTAAAAGTTGTACATGAATTTCCCTTCAGGTCATAATTGTGGAAGCAATTCTGAAATTTCAGAAATTTTGATACTTCTGTTTCTGACTTGTTTCTGTCCTTTTCTCTTTTATAATGAAGGAAGGACGCATGGCTCCAGAGGTCAATACTAGATAATTCTTAATGTTTTCTAAGTGCATAAACACTTCTTTACATCTGTAACTACTGGTTGCATTAAGCATTATGTTTCAGTTGCTGTATTCATTTCTGCATTCTGGCCTCAAAGCATCCACACCAACTTAACTGCTTTGAAAATGCAAGATCTCAGTTAAGTTCCTTGTTTGAATGCTGACTGCATATAAAAGGATCCTAAAAAGTGTTTACACTGGAATTAAAGTGGTTTGGTAAGTGTTTTATTTGTCCTAATAGTGTATGTAGGGTACAGCACTTCATCATTATGGTCGAAAAGTATGATGGCACACAGGTTGATCTTGCACAGAAAGTATTCCCGTGTGCAAGGCTGGTCCCAGCCTTCCCGGAACCCCAAGACAAACCTGACCACTCACCTATTCCCTCTTCATCACCCTTCATCTTTTAACAATGTTAAACACACACACACCTTTTAAGTCCTCTTACAGTTATCTGCTGTTAATCATTACAAAGTCCTGCAAGCCATACTTCTGCTTATCTGTAGATAGTCCGGTGCTTTTGGCCACAAAACATGGTTAGTACACTCCAATGACACAAAGAGGAAATAATAACAAAGCAGGTAACAACACATCCGGCTAGCATTTCAATACAAGGAAGTAAGGCGCAATGAATTGTCTTGAGGACCTTCCTCATATCTCACGCAGTGATGTAGACCAATTTATAAAAGAATACACACACAACACACACCAAGAAGAATACAGGACATAGGCTGTTCTTCAAAAATGACATTTTTGACTGTCAAATTATTTCAACCGAGCGAGCTAACATAGCTAACCTAACGAGCTAACTTAGCTAATCTGACTGGAAATTGTTGGCTTGTTTTAATATTTATATAGATTTAATATACTAACATGTACTTTACATGTACATGTAGTTTCAAATGTTGTGAACGAGGAGGTGATAGTAAGGGCCAGATCAGATAGATCAATGAGGAAGAACGACAAACCTCAAAAAAGTACAGAAACGAAGTAAGCTAATTAAAGACGTTAGCTACTAGCACTAACCAAGAAATGAGTTCAAATCTGCAGTTGCAGTGCTTTATTTAGGCCATGCTGCTTTCGCAGTATCTGGTATACTGCTAGACTTTTGATGAAGTTGAAGTTGGCCTTTTATTTACATATTCTGGTCCACCTTAAATGGTGCTGTAGTTATGTTCTGGCCTTCACACCATTTAAGGTGACTGCTGCATTGTTTAAGGCGGAAAGGAAATTTGAATGAGAAGCCGACTTCAGCTTTGTGAACATTCATGTTTTGTTATATGACAGTGAATCTTTTTTTTGATAGTTCATCTCTAAAGCCAGAAAATCTCAAAAGTTATTCCAAAGGAAACCGCAGGCTACGAATTGACCTGAAGGAGTCTTATAGACATAGAATAAAATGGTCAGTAGTTATCAGTGGTCTTCTGTATCACCTTGTGCCATTTGAAGATGTAAACTGATCCGATGATGCCGAAGATGAGTAAAATAGTTGTGACAACCACCATAGCGATGATATCAGTCTCTACAGAATCATCTGGCTCGATATAACCTACATCTAAGAGAGAGAGAGAGGAAGAAAGACAGCTGTCAGGTGGCCCTTGGATGTGGTTCAACTTTCAAAAGTTTTTTATTGCTCAACTGCCGATGACAGCTTTTTCCCAAAATGTCACAAGACTCAACTGTCACTCTCTTTCTGTTCTGCGTGAGATTTTCTATTCTTTTGCTTAAGCTGCACTCCAGTTCTGTCCATCATCTGTTCTTGTTCATGTACTGTAATACATGCTCATTTATACCACGATTGAAATGATGATTTGAAAGGTGAATCACCGGCACACCTCTTCAGATCCTCTTGAGTATGGTTTCATCTTCCAAATATAGAAGTGATTGAGAAGTCAGTGGTTGACTCCATTTTCACTTCACTGTCACACTCAGTGTTATGGTTTGCACCACTCACATGGAACTAAACAGCACAGACCTATTCCTCTAACATTAGAGTGTGAGTTATGAATAGGGTTGTTATCTGCAGCTTTGTTGTAGTTTTTGCTGATTTTTTTGTTTGTTTGTTTTATACTCAACTGAGGTCATTTGGCTTGTGGGGTTTCAATAGGAATGTATGGTACCTCTGAGTTTCTTTTGATTCGATAGAATACCCATGCAAAAAACAAGACTAAAACTGTTAAGTCTCCTTGTGTGAATAAAAAGGGGAAAATCTTTGAGATTACTATGTTGAACATAAAACGTAACTGTGCTAGCAAACTCTTGTGTCTCAAAATCAATGTCTTCATGAAAAAAAGGCCAAATTTTAACTGGTATATGTATATATATATATATATATATATATATATATATATATATATATATATATATATTATAAAAGTAAAAAAATTTAAAAAAAGAAATCATTTACAAAAAAAATGTACAAAATTATGATGAAGTGCCAAATGCAGACATGTGTAAAAACATACCTAAATGTCTTTGCATTTGTCTTAAATGGAATTCCACTTTTATTTTCAACATTTCTGCATAATCAATGTTTAAAACATAAACAAAGTCATCCAGAGTGGTTTGATTCTCATTTGGAAACATAAGAATCAGAATTATTAATACTTCAGTATTAATAAGCCCATCCCTGATTCGCACAACTAACTCACCTCGCACAAGGGCCACCCAGTAGAGGCTCTCTTTTTGGTACTGGAAGACGTATTCTCCAGAGCTTGAGCTGTTATGCATGGTGATGTTAGCCCACAGTTGTTCATCTTTAACAACAGATTGTGTATTGTGAACGTATTCCTTCCAAACTTCTTGCCTGTTTCTGGAGCAAGAAACTTTGGTTCTGCTGCTGTTGGCGGGGACAGTGACCCTGATGTGGATGTGGAGCGTTTCATTTGCCAGTGCCACGCAAGTTCTGTTGTTGACCACGAGGAGACCATTGGCTGCATGGAGAGAGAGTACAGAGAGCACCAGAGAAGTTGGCATAAACAGTACAATTTTTGAAAAGGTTTTTTTTTACATATGTTTTACATCTGAAAAAAGCCAGATCTTTTTATTTTGGTCAAAACATACACATACTTCACTGGAAATATTGTAACTGATTATTCTTGATTATAACATTCCAGAATCAATGCAGTTGAAACCTTTCAGGAGAACACAAAATACCATTACTTACTTCTAAATACCACCAAGAACCAGTAGAAAAATGAAAGATTTCTAAGATTTTTTACAGCAGGGTATTACCCAAAAATCACCCATTGTTTTATATAACAATAATTTCATTAACTTTTTCATTTGTCACATAATCTCATACATATGATAACAAAGCAACATTAAGTGTAGAACCTTCACCTTATAAGCAGCCTTTTCTTATCAAACTACCACCACAATAATAATGCTAATTTAAGCTCCATGTCATTTCATATACAGTTGTTTTCCCACACTGAGTTTACTACTACTTATGGCAAATCTACCAAAAGTACATTTAAAGCTTCTAAGACATTCAAGTAACTTATTCTTTACTCTGAGTGTTGCATCTTTTACAGTGAATCATTCAGAAAATGCATCAGGTCAAAGCCACTGATATTAACAGGGGAGTTTGATAGTACCTTTGCTTTCTGATGTTCTAGCTGTTAAGCATAACAAGTTTGAACAAAACCATGTTTTTAAGTAAGCAATGTTTAGTACTGTTTTGAGTCATTTACTTCATATAAACGCTGATGCTTGGTCCTATCAATACACTCAGTAATCCATGCAAGCAACATAACAGCACATTAATACAGAATTTCATTATTGCAAGGCGGTTATAGGTGTGGTTTAGAACACAGCTCAGATTTTAGGAACAGAATGATCACTTTTGGTCTTGCTTAGAATGGGTGATATGAGGTAGCTGGGATGAAGAGCTGATCCTACATCAGCATGCATGGAGAGTCACTATCTCCAGACTTATTTGCACTGTTTTCCAGAGCTTTTCCACTGACGCAGTCCAATATGACTCACACTGTTGGGGATCCATATGACGGGATTGTCCAAATCCAGCCCTGCACAGTTTACAGTTTTATCTGCTCTAACATGTCTGACTGACACTCTTTAATATGAAGGTGCCAAAAATGTGATTCTGTAAAATAACCACTTCTGGTTTCCTAAAGAACCTTTGAATGGTTTCAAATGTGAAATTGGAGTTTTTTTTTTTTTAAACCATCTGTTGAAATGTCCTCTAGAGAACCAAAAGTGGTTCTTCTAAAATATCACTCCAAAGAACCATTTGGGCACCTTTTTTAAAAGTATATGGGCTTGTATATCAGGACACCTTACAACTCAAATAAGGTGCATTAGAGAGCAATGAATGCATTAAACTATCCAATCCAGGACTGAATCTGGACACCCTGCCCTGCCTTAACATCAGGTAAATATCTTCATATGTGTTTCTATTTACAGACAGTGTAAATGTGACTTTGCAATATAGTTTCTCAAAACATCAAATGATTGACTGTTAGTGTATCATGAAAAGAAACATACCTTGACTCTTGTTACTGCAACACAGCAGAAAAATGCAGCAAATTCCAAACTGTACTGCAAACATGTTGTCGCCCCAAGTGGTGGCTTTTCCTCAGAGAGATCAGTCCTTATCACTGTATTTTTGTGCAGAAGAACTGTCAGATTCTTCTGACCACAATCTGTCGAAGAGAAGTTCTGGACAAGCGCTATCTGTCTTGCTCAAAAGAAGTGACTACCGGAAGTTGTGTCAAAGCTTACATCCTACCATTACCTGCAGCCTCATTAGAACTTAATTGACAAATATTTTCCAATATACGTCCTGCTGTTGACCCTAAATAACACTCTGACCATACAGTCGACCTCTGACCTCCAACTCCAGCTCAAAAGTCTAACCACAATCTACCAAAAATAGGAAAAATCTGCCTCAAAAGCATGAAACCAGCTTTGCTCTCAAAGTGTGAAGTGTCACAAGACTGCATTCTCTCCCTCTCTCACGCAATCCCGCCTGAAACAGTTCCTCTTTTTTTTGCTTTCATCATCACAGGACCTGCTTCTTCTGCTCTCTCTTGTGGTGAAATAACAACATGGAATCTAATAATGGAGCTCATGGTGAATATGTACATATATGCTAATGTGGCATTTTGGGATAATAGGTTAAAGTGGACTTTACAGGGTGACTGACTAGTGACTCTGTGATCTTCTATCTCTCTCCTTCTCCAGACTCTCGTTGGCCAGTGATGTCTTATGCTTAAAGGAGTAGTGGAAATCAAATTTACAGTTTTCCCCTTGCTCCAAATATATTCATTCAGCCAAGACATGTTTGGTGTCTGAAATTAGCTTTTTAGCACTGAGGCTTATGTAGCTAACAAGTAATGGAAGCTAATACTCCACTAATTAGCATCACGCAAACTGTATGTACAATAGGCCTGTTGCAATTATTTGAGTCAGTCGTGGTTATTTTCCACAGTTGTTAGCTTTCATAGTCCAATGTTTACACTGCAACAAACAATGTGAATTGGATGCATTTTTAACTTTTGGGTTGAGGCAAATGCACGTAAAAGAAAGCAAACAGAAAACACATTTATTGAGACACGCCAAAGGTCTTACAATGACAACAAACTTCTGACTTCAGTGTTATTAACAAACACCAAATAAGCATTATAATGTTTGTTTATTTGGTGTCTTTAATAACATATTTAGAGGGCAGCAGTGAGTAATGTTTGTTTATTTGAGGTTTGTTAATAACACCTTTAGAGGGCAGTCGTGAGTAATGTTTGTTTATTTGATGATTGTTAATAACACCTTTAAAGGGCAGTAGTGAGTAATGTTTGTTTATTTGAGGTTTGTTAATGACACCTTTAGAGGGCAGCAGTGAGTGATGTTTGTTTATTTGAAGTTTGTTAATAACTCCTTTAGAGGGCAGTCGTGAGTAATGTTTGTTTATTTGTTGTTTGTTAATAACTCCTTTAGAGGGCAGTAGTGAGTAATGTTTGTTTATTTGTTGTTTGTTAATAACTCCTTTAGAGGGCAGCAGTGAGCAATGTTGGTTTGATGTTTGTTAATAACACCATTAGAGGGCAGCAGTGAGTTATGTTTGTTTGATGTTTGTTAATAACACCTTTAGAGGGCAGCAGTGAGTAATGTTTGTTTATTTGAGGTTTGTTAATTACTCCTTTAGAGGGCAGTCGTGAGTAATGTTTGTTTATTTGTTGTTTGTTAATAACTCCTTTAGAGGGCAGCAGTGAGTAATGTTTGTTTATTTGAGGTTTGTTAATGACACCTTTAGAGGGCAGCATTGAGTAATGTTTGTTCATTTGAGGTTTGTTAATGACATTTAGAGGACAGTCGTGAGTAATGTTTGTTTATTTGATGTTTGTTAATAACTCCTTTAGAGGGCAGCAGTGAGCAATGTTGGTTTGATGTTTGTTAATAACACCATTAGAGGGCAGCAGTGAGCTATGTTTGTTTGAGGTTTGTTAATAACTCCTTTAGAGGGCAGCAGTGAGTAATGTTTGTTTGATGTTTGTTAATAACTCCTTCAAAGGGCAGCAGTGAGTAATGTTTGTTTATTTGAGGTTTGTTAATAACACCTTTAGAGGGCAGCAGTGAGTAGTGTTTGTTTATTTGAGGTTTGTTAATAACACCTTTAGAGGGCAGTCGTGAGTAATGTTTGTTTATTTGATGTTTGTTAATAGCAGCTTTAGAGGACAGCAGTGAATAGTTGGTTTATCTGATGACAGCTTTAGGGGCAATGGTTAGTAATGTTTGTTTATTAGCTGTTTGTTAATAACTTCTGTAGGGGCAGCGGTGAGTAATGTTTGTTTATTAGATGTTTATTATTAACTCCTTTAGAGGGCAGCAGTGAGTAATGTTTGTTTATTTGTTGTTTGTTAATAACTTCTTTAGGGACAGTGGTGAGTAATGTGTGTTTATTACATGTTTGTTAATAACTTCTTTAGGGACAGTGGTGAGTAATGTTTGTTTATTACATGTTTGTTAATAACTTCTTTAGGGACAGTGGTGAGTAATGTGTGTTTATTACATGTTTGTTAATAACTTTTTTAGGGACAGTGGTGAGTAATGTTTGTTTATTATATGTATGTTAATAACTTCTTTAGGGGCAGCGGTGAGTAATGTTTGTTTATTAGATGTTTGTTAATAACTTCTTTAGGGGCTGCAGTGAGTAATGTTTGTTTATTAGATGTTAATAACTTCTTTAGGGGCAGTCGTGAGTAATGTTTGTTTTGATGTTTGTTAATAACTTCTTTAGGGGCTGCAGTGAGTAATGTTTGTTTATTAGATGTTAATAACTTCTTTAGGGGCAGCGGTGAGTAATGTTTGTTTATTAGATGTTAATAACTTCTTTAGGGGCAGCGCTGAGTAATGTTTGTTTATTAGATGTTTGTTAATAAATCTTTAGGGGCAGCGCTGAGTAATGTTTGTTTATTAGATGTTTGTTAATAACTCTTTAGGGGCAGTGGTGAGTATGTTTGTTTATTAGATGTTAATAACTTCTTTAGGGTCAGCGGTGAGTAATGTTTGTTTATTAGATGTTTGTTAATAACTTCTTTAGGGGCAGCGCTGAGTAATGTTTGTTTATTAGATGTTAATAACTTCTTTAGGGGCAGCGCTGAGTAATGTTTGTTTATTAGATGTTTGTTAATAACTTCTTTAGGGGCAGCGCTGAGTAATGTGTGTTTATTACATGTTTGTTAATAAATTCTTTAGGGACAGTGGTGAGTAATGTTTGTTTATTACATGTTTGTTAATAACTTCTTTAGGGACAGTGGTGAGTAATGTGTGTTTATTACATGTTTGTTAATAACTTTTTTAGGGACAGTGGTGAGTAATGTTTGTTTATTACATGTTTGTTAATAACTTCTTTAGGGGCAGCGGTGAGTAATGTTTGTTTATTAGATGTTTGTTAATAACTTCTTTAGGGGCTGCAGTGAGTAATGTTTGTTTATTAGATGTTAATAACTTCTTTAGGGGCAGTCGTGAGTAATGTTTGTTTATTACATGTTTGTTAATAAATTCTTTAGGGGCTGCAGTGAGTAATGTTTGTTTATTAGATGTTAATAACTTCTTTAGGGGCAGCGCTGAGTAATGTTTGTTTATTAGATGTTTGTTAATAACTTCTTTAGGGGCAGCGCTGAGTAATGTTTGTTTATTAGATGTTTGTTAATAAATTCTTTAGGGGCAGCGCTGAGTAATGTTTGTTTATTAGATGTTTGTTAATAACTTCTTTAGGGGCAGTGGTGAGTAATGTTTGTTTATTAGATGTTAATAACTTCTTTAGGGGCAGCGGTGAGTAATGTTTGTTTATTAGATGTTAATAACTTCTTTAGGGGCAGCGGTGAGTAATGTTTGTTTATTAGATGTTTGTTAATAACTTCTTTAGGGGCAGCGCTGAGTAATGTTTGTTTATTAGATGTTTGTTAATAAATTCTTTAGGGGCAGCGCTGAGTAATGTTTGTTTATTAGATGTTTGTTAATAACTTCTTTAGGGGCAGCGCTGAGTAATGTTTGTTTATTAGATGTTTGTTAATAAATTCTTTAGGGGCAGCGCTGAGTAATGTTTGTTTATTAGATGTTTGTTAATAAATTCTTTAGGGGCAGTGGTGAGTAATGTTTGTTTGTTTAGTGTTTGTTGATCTTTATCTGTTTATCTGGTTTCTAATACTGTATGACATGCTATTGTAAAAATGGACAAAAGCACATTAGCACAGCCAAAATCAGTACTAGCAGCCACTTTTAGTCAGGAACAACATGATGCTTTGAGATTACTTAACAACTCAAAACAGTTCGAAACAAGTTTGTGATAATTTAGTTATACAGTTGCTGCTAGCTGGTGTTCAAAAGCTTTAAGTACTTGTTAGCTACATTAGACTCACAGCTCAAGTGCCAACACCAAACATGCTTTGGCTGGTTATGTTTGGGTTAAGGGGAGAATTTAGTGCTGTTCCTTTAACACTATCAGCTCAGATAAATGATGAAGTCGAGCTCAGAAATGATATGCTGTTCTGAATTTGGCCACTAGATGGAAGCAATAGATTAATGCTTTACAACACATTAAAACGGCCACAACAATACTTCCCCAGTCATAACTCTCACCTGGTAATTTAACACTGGAGCTATGCCGAGTTATAGGCCTCTGTTTTCATCTAATTGTTGAGAATGTATTGTTGGTGTAGGATTTGTAGAAGGTCATAATAAGGTAAAAAGTGAGCGGAGAGCTGTGCGTTCTTTCTGTTTTATTGCTAAGTAATGTTTTTTATGGGTTCTTTTTGTGTGGAAAACAGCTGCTTCTGAAAAATATGATACTCTAAAATGGAAATTAGTTTGAGCTTGATGTAATTGGGCATGGTGATACACACATACATACACACACGTTCATTTATGCCAAGCAATTGAGCACTTGGCTGACTTTTTAGCTTCTGACAGCACTAAAAAGAGAGAGAGAGAGAGAGAGAGAGAGAGGAATTCAGTCTGCAGTGACAAATTGCTTCGTGCTTAATGAGAAACAGGTGCATATGAGCTTTATGGAGGAGAAAGACAGAGAGAGACGAAAAGGGAGAGGAAAAACAACGTAACACTTTCATTTCGCTCTGTTTACTTTCATTGGAGTTAGCCAAACTTGATGTCACAACATCAACAAAGACCGCGGGTGGGGGAATGGGGGGGGGGCAGAAAGAGGGAGATAGAGAGAGAGAGAAGCACAACAGAAATAACATCTGCAAGTCAGTCAACGAAAAAAAATATTTCCTGTTTTATAATCTCTTTCTCTCACATCATTTTTGCATATTTTAGCGGTAAATAAGTGATCTCACTGTATGTTGCACTCAAGCTTTCCCTAATTTGTTCTCAAATAAAGGAACATCTCATTTAAACACAGTGACACGTTTATAGAAAAGTGTTTACTTAAAGGATTTACTGTGTATGCTCAGTGAATAAAGGTTCCAAAAAGGGCTCTTTGTGATGCCACAGAAGAACCATTTTTGGCTCCCTAAAGAACCCTTCAATAAATGGTGTGAAGAACTGTTTTATAGTTTGAAGAACCTCCAAACACACTCATGGTGTTCTTGATGCAAAGCATCAGCTCTAATAAACAGTCGTAACAGCGTAAGTGAGTCAGTATGTGAGTGAATAGCGAAATCCAAGTCAGGTCCATGAGGACTTTAGCTTTCAGGGTACAGTTGTTGTCATTGGTCTGGTTCTCTCAATGGTACATCATCAGTATCTTTAGTTAGGGAACCCAGTTATACCATATTTCATTGTAATTATTTTTAGATGCCAAGTGCCTCATGGACCTGACTTGTAATGCCGTTAAGTACGCACTGGCTCACTCACTCACTCACATTTGGTAGGCTGCAGATCTTCCACAAGGGGGCGCCTTTAGCAGTCAAACATAATAAAAGCAGTGCTTTGCATCGATGACAATGAATGTTTTTGTTTTAAATTGCATACATCCAAAGTCTTGACTTTTATTTTAGTTTTCCACTTAAAAGAAAAGTTCTGGAAAATACAAATATTCCCTTAGAGGACAAAAAATTTACTTGGACAGTACCCTCACCACAGTGCAGCAATTTAAAGTTTTTTTCAGAACCCTATTTTCAAGCTGAGAAATACTGAGGAACCTTTATTAAAGACCTTTATTTAAGACTAGGAACATTATGAAATGTTCAAATAAACATCTTAAACAAGCAATGCAGTCATGCTTAGGTATAAAAGGAGCATCCAGGCTGAGTCATTTATGAGCAAGGGCAGGTCGAGGCTGCCAAAAATGTGTCAGCAAATAATCCAGCAGTTTTAGAATGAGGACTGTTCTGTAAGGATTTTGATATTTTACCCTTCAAAACGACAACTGAATGCCCGTGATCTTCGATCCCCTCAGACGTGTGATGGACATCACCACATAGGCTCAGGAATACACTGGCAAATCATTTAATAAACGATTGTCACTGCAACTACAAATGCGAGTTAAGACTGTACTATATGAAGTGGAAGCCATCTGTCAGCTACATCTAGAAATGCCTCTAACTTCTGTAGACTTGAGTTTATCTGAAATGGCATGATGCACAGTGGAAACATGTATTGTGGTTTGATGAGTCAACTATACAGATTATTGATGGAAATAATCACATTGTGCTCTCCTAGAAGAAAAGGGCAATCCAGATTGTTACCAGTGTAAAGTTCAAAAGTCAGGGTCTGTATTAGTGCCCATGGCATGGGTAACTTGCACATCCGGAACCATTAAATCTAAAAATCATGTTATATTGTTCTATATATCTCATTACACATAAAATAATAGCTTTGAATACCTTTGTCAGATGTTAGTATTGAAGCTAATGGGCTGCACATCAGTTCTCCAGTTGTTCCTGAGATATTTTTGTTGAAGCCTTTTGATTCAATAACAGAAATCATATGAGCAATGTGTGGATTTGGCTGCATGCTTTGCCAAACCTGTCAGTGCATTTATGTGTGTGTGTGTGTGTGTGTGAGAGAGAGAGAGAGAGAGAGAGAGAGAGAGAGAGAGAGAGAGAGAGAGCAGAAAGATCGGAAGAACAAAAGCAGAAAGGGCAAAACTGAGGTAGACAAAGAGGCGCACATCTGTGCATCTGGACACAGCTGGAGCTGGAGTGAGAAACAGATAGTGAGAGAGAGAGAGAAATGTAAAGATAGTGAATTCTCTCTTTGTACAAAAATAAAACTAGTTTAAGTGGAACGTATACTCTAACTATAATCACATTAGAGCTGGAGGGAGGAGAGGAGAGAGAGACAGAGAGACAGTGAGAGAGAGAGTGATTCAGAAAAAGAGGGCTAAAGGAGAGATTGGAGAGAAGCGTCAGCAGAGTGCAAGGGGGAAAAGAAAAACAAGGTTATTATTCAAAAATACTGACGCAGTTGTAGCTGGAGAAGGCAATCAACCAAAACAACACTATCACCTTCTGAAAAGTGTAAGTAGAATCCTCATGTGAAGTTCAAGCTGAATTAAGTTTTCTGATTTGAGGTGATATTTGGTTCATGCATGCTCTTCTCTGTCCCTGATATATCATATATCATCTGTGTAAGTTCTTGCACGTTCACCGCTGGAATACATCTCTACTTCTGACAGAACAGATGGACGCTCACGCTTTACTATGCATGTTTTGTAGTTGTCCCGAAGTGGAAGTATTTGGCACTGGTCTCTACATCTGTCCTTCCAGTGACTCTGCTGGAAGTAATGATGCTAAGGTCCAGAAGCCATAAGCATAAAGCTACTTTCGGCCTTGGCTTGCTTTAGTAGCCGACGGTAAACAGTACTAGCAAAAAGTAGTTCCAGATCCTGGATCAGTTCTCCAGCTAGACTATCTATGCAGGTTGATTTAGGACCAGCTACTACTACCTTTCATATCCCAGCACAATTATATTCGATCCTGGATCAGCTTCGATCACAATCAGGGATTTCTTAAATGGTTATATTGCTTACTACGAGCTACTTAAGCAATCAAATAAGCTCTTCTTTTGGCCTTGGCTTGCTTTAGGAACTCATAGTGAACAGAATCAACTATGAATAAGTTCCTGATCCTGCATCTATGCTGATCTAGGACCAGCTATTACCTTTCCTAACCAGGTGCAATTATATCTGTGGAAGTGCTGATCTGGAGCAGCTTCTTTCTAACCAAAACTGGTGTAGTTTGTTTCTGGATCAATTCAGATCAGTTCAGATCTGTTCAGATACTCTTGCAAAGATTCAGAACTGTCAGTGCTGATCTCTGATCTTTTTTCAATGATCTCTGACCTTATAATTTTTCAATTCTGATACTTTAGGGAATAATTCAGTGTACCATGTCATCTCACATTTTACTGAGGTTTGAGGTCATTTTCAGAATTTTGGAAACACTTTCTGTGAATATCATGTCTATTAGAAACTATAAACATTATCAAAACATGTTATAATACATTTATAAAGTAGTATAAATATGGCTTTAAATAGTTAAAAAAAATGCATTACACATTATAATTTTGTTTATTATGCATTATGAATAACAATCCTATCAATATTCTTTCCTTTAGACTAAAATATCTCTCTTTATTTGTGCCTCACATATACAGCTACCCTCTATACATTCAGTCACGTTACTCAAAGCTTGCAAAGACATGTTACAAAATATTAAATATATTAAATAACAAATATAAGCTATTACTCCATTTCAGATGAAGGGTTAATGCATAAGTTATTCAAAGTAATCAAGGCAAGGCTCAGCATTTGTTTACGACTAGCCAGGCTTGTTTCTGTAGTACTAACAATATAGTGTGATGTAAACACATATTATGGTATAAACACTACATTGTATTATGCTAACAATACATACTACATAATCAACAAAGCTTTAATGTTTGATGCATTTTCATGAACATTTATAGCCATGGTTTATAATGCATTTTGAATGCATTATAATGTTATGAATGTGCTCATAGATTCTTCTAGATATGGTATTTATAGAAAGTGTTATCATAATTGCTTTTAAAAAACCACTGAATAAACAAATTTAACTAGAGGAACGATTTACACAGTAATGGAATACAGACAATAAAAAACAATGCTGCTTTTTTTTAATTTGAAAATAAACAGAGAAAGTTATTTTGGCCCAAAAATTGGCACATACTTCGCTGAATTTTTTTACAATTGATTCTAGCATCACAGCTGAATTGCCACCTTCAGACTAACGCATCACCCATAGTTTATCTCTATCAGCCTTAATGATAAACTCATTTATTCCACAAGCACAATTATATCACCATCTGATCCCATATCAGCTCTTCTACTCACAGACTCTCAGTGACTGTTGGAGTCTGGAGTGAGAATGCTGATCTATTAACACCTTTAATGAACATGATTAACCCATTTACCACATGTGGTGTGGAGGGAGCAGATCCTACACCAGTAGTCTCACACTGAGACGTCTTCTATGTATCTCCCGTGTTGTAAGAAAAACTTGGTTACTTTAGGGAAGAAGGTTAGAACTGTCTTTAACATCTGTAGGTCCATTCATCATGAAATTTCATGTTACTGTTTTCAAATTTCAAATAAAATAGAGTTACGAGGTTTTCTAATAGTAATGATATGCACCCCCACCTTGATCTGGAGTCGGGAGCTTTTTTAGAAATGCCTCTGCACTGACTCACTCTAGGACAGTTCCCAGAGTCAGTTATTTTCTCCTGTGATTTCACTGTTATGTAAGCCTCTACCCCCTTTTTGCACCTCACTGTGAGCACATTTACTTCACTCTTAAAAAAGATAGTACTTCAAGGGATTCTTCAGTAAAGAGAATGGGTCTATATAGAACCATGAACACCCAAAGATCCATCTGCATGCTTAAATGGTCTTTTGCATGGCGGAATGGTTCTTCATATAGATATACACACACACACACACACACACACCACACACACATATATATATATATATATATATATATATATATATATATATGCAACACATTCTCCATCAATCTGAAGAACATTTTCATCATGCAAATAACCATTTATGTATGCAAGCGGTTCTTTGAACGATAATGGCTCTGTGTAGCACCACTGCCTTTACTAAAGAGCTCTTGAAGAACCATCTTTTTTAAGAGTGTAGATATACTAAAGCAATAGAACACGAGGAGTGTGTTATCGCGATATCACACGACCTCGAGTGCTTTTATATAACAGTTAAATAAATAAAGTAAGAAATAAATACATTGGGTCGTGAACGCGGCGTTTAATATGTTTTAATGTTCGCAGTTCCTTCCGCCAAATTATAGTTCCTTAACAGGCAGCTTGTTGCTACGTCAGAGTACTGAGCTCCACTCATTCGCTGCACAGCCGGCTGTTCGTTCTCCAGCTCCACACACAGACCAACTGACAGTTGGGGAATTTAGTGTAGTCTCATCTTCAGAGTCTGACCAAATCGGCTGTCGGTCAAATGTGATCTTAAAAGCATCCATTTCCTGTTTGTGCGCAAAGTAAGAAGTAAAAACGTTCAAATGGCTTGAACGTCTTCTACAGCGGTTAAAGTCGTTGCTTAGCGACGGAGTCTCAGCGGAGTGTTACAGTGTTTGTGAAAAAAACATGATGTCATGGCGAAATAACAGCAGAGAACTTGCAGAGAGGAGAATTACCGCTCTGCAATGTCTGAGGTTTCTCAGACGCTAGAGGGCGCTCCAGAGCGAGTCCAAAATGAATGGGTTGCTATGGAGCGTTTGAGCAAAATCATAGTTTATAACTGCTCTAAACATTTCTAATGTAAAAGAATACAATCATTTCCTGAACACCGAACAGCATAAAACATTTTAACACCGCTGTTATATTTTTAAGAGCTTTTAAACTCGAGTTATAGGAGTTTAAAACGGCGCCTCATGTATGTCCATGACGTCAGTGAGCGCGAACAGCCAATGAGCTCCTCCGCTCGCCAATCAATCATCACGCTCTAGCAGTAATGCCCGCCTTCTGCTGCCCAAACCCCGTTTGCTGTAGAAAAAAGGAAATATATAGGTAAGATTTCTTTGCTTTTTTTAGTGAAATATATCCTTCTACTTTCTAAAAACATTCTGGGAAAGTGATTAGAAACTATTTTAACTTTTCGTTTTCAGCCGTTGAGCACCATTTACTCCCATTCATTGAGGACTCACTCGCGGGCGCCCTCTGCTGTTTGGCAGCCCTGTTTTTGATATAACGGGGGAATAGGAAGTGGACAAGCTCCTCATAAACCGACTCTGATGTTATGGCGAAATATCAGCACGGTTAGAACGCTTCTCAACCAATCAGCTTACTGTTGTATAAAGTCGGAGTGATACTTAGAGAGACTGATTCAGAGTTGTGTTATGTGGTTATCGGGAGATACTGGCACTCATGCCTCTGCACTCTGCTAATCACACTGGGACTAACTGTGGCAAAATCAACATGTTTAGGATTCAAGCACGCAGTGCGTAGAATCCATTGGAACTGTCAAGATTTTTCTTATTATTCTGATTCTTCCCTAAAACTGTTTGACTAGATCAAACTGTAGTTCGTAGAGACATGACATGAGCCCAATCGACCTAAAGGGGGCATTTGCTTGTCTGGTATTTTGACTTATTCATTTAAAGACTACAGCTTATTATACAAAGGTCAAGAGGTAAATATGAACAAAACTCAGTGAACATCTTTGTTGAAGATCCCTAATCAATAATCATAACATATGGTGACCTATTGACAAATTTTGACCCACTTAGCTCCTCTATGCCAAACGGGCCCCTTATGGGTACATGTACATCAAAGGGTAAAACATGGAGAACCAAACCATTTTGCAAATACAACTATGACAGAAATTTTACCATTTTGACATCTATGTTGATAATCTTTTGCATGTTTAACAAAGCTCAATACCTCATTAGATATGATATGAAGCATGTATCATGTTTAAACACCACTGCTCAACAATTATGGCAAATGAAGGCCTTTTAAAAAACTCTGACTTCCTTGCATTTTTAAATCCGATCTCTGTAAATAAGGCCCAAACTGCACTAGGCCTTGTTAGGCCTAGTTGGCTGCAACTGCATAAGGGCTCATTGTGCTGATGCACACTTGAACCCGCTCATTGCAACTATATTTTTAATTGATTTTAATCAGTTATAACATTTCAAAGTCAGATCAATGCATCATCATAGATTTTTACACCCACACTGCAGTCTTACTGGTCACTCAGCAGCTCTACTCACAGTTAGAAGAGTTTGAGAACGTTTGCCTTTCAGCCTGTGCTCGATTGCAGAGCTGGGCCTTGTGACCTCCAGCACAAAGGCTATTTTTCTCAGAAGCTTCAAATAAACTAATCAAGTTTGCTAGGAGTTAGAGTAGTCACAAGACCATCATCCCACCCTTCCCCTCGCCCTCATAGTTCATAGATCCTGTTTGTATCCTCGGATGTTAAAGTAATAGGAAAACCATCTTAAAATACTTTGAAGTGTTCTGAAGTGTTCTAAAAGAAAGAATGTAAGGAAAACAGAAAACTAATTTAGAGGACTCTGGCTTTTAAGATGCCCCAGTGCATTTGATGGAATTTAAAAAGAAGAGAAACTTTGTTATTTAACTTTTACAATGTCCTTAATGCACTGAATGCATAAAAAACTCCATTTTAATCTAACTTTAAAGAGGCCCTTAATGCATTCAATTATTCCATTTTATTCTGTTTCTTTTTAAGAAAATATGACATTCAATGCATTAAAGACATCTTTAAAGTTGAATAATTGAGTATATATATACACACACACACACACACACACACATATATATATATGTGTGTATATATATATATATATATATATATATATATATATATATATATATACATATGTATATATATATACACTCAATTATTCAACTTTAAAGATGTCTTTAATGCAGTGAATGTTATATTTTCTTAAAAAGAAACTCCATACAACTCTGTACTCAAGAAGAAAAAGAAGCTGAGCTGAAATTAGATGAACACATGTGTAGTTGTGAGTCCACGTGCACATGCTCTGAAACGTTTTGGACTCTTTTGTTGGCCCTAGAGAGGACTTTTTTTTTTTCTCTCTCTCCCTTCTCTACTCTAAAATTCATGACCTATTTCTCTTTTTATTTTTTGTTTGCTTGTTTTTTTCTGCAGCAATTTTTATTTGCTTTTTACCCACTTTTACCATAAGTTTGCTCCCTCTGTTTTTATTGCACCCTTTTTCTTGCCATGGCATGACACAAGCTGATCTGCTGGAAATCCTTGAAAACAGACAATGAGTACCCCTCACCACCATAGCTTGGTGAGTAGTTTACTTTAATATAGAAATACAATGCTGGGTCTCTTTGCTGTTTAAGGTACTTGTGAATATTGCTCATGTTTACATGGACTGAGTAGGAACAATTAAACCTAATGGACGTTTCCCCCATCCTTCTCCCCAAAAAGGAAACCCAATCAGTGCTAATGTTAGTTTCTTTAGTCGTCTGTGTGTGATGACATTGAACTTCCTGCCTATAAAGATCTGCTCTGCTCTTTCTCTGCTACGCAAAACTTGTCACAGGCAGATTCTTTGCAGTTCAGACATGGATTTATTGTGAAATATGCTCCACCATCTGAACGCAGCCTTAAACAGTGCATGGCATCTGCAAAAAGCACACATGGGTCTTTACTGTGCTCCTAATAATTAAAAGTTCTGTTCTTTTGTTTTTGTTCTCTATCTTTACTTATTGTGTTTAGCAGTTGCAATTAAATAAACCTGACATCTGGTGGTGCTGCAGCACCCTCAGCATCCCTGCTTACCAATTCCCTGCTCTTACATGTTTATACAATCCTAATGCAAATGCAGTCCTGCTCCTTATCTTCAGGCACATGAACGGGCAGTGCTGTTTCATTCATATAGCTAATTAGCATCATTCTGGGCAGATTCATTTTACATCAATTTGAATATGACTGGATATTTAAATGAAAAAAGTGTGGATTGGCAAGAGAAAAAGACAAAGATCTCATGGTCTTTGATATTTGCAAAGTTTTAGAACTTTTAAGGTCTTAATAATAATGTAATGATTAAATAGTGTGTTGTTTTTTTCTCATGGAAAAGTAATCGAGCAAAATACAAGTATGTAATTTCAATAATACTTCAACCTGCAATACCATCCAACCTGCACAACGCAATCCTTTCTTTATCCTTTCTGCCAATGGCTTCAAAAATCAGTCCCCAGACCCGGTTTGATCTGTGAAGCTTACCGCAGAGGCCAGAGAAGTTAGCTTATTAGCTCAGTTCCCCCTTTTTCTTTATCTCATCCTCTGTGCATCTTTAATCTCTCTTCCTCTCTCTCTTTCTCTCTATACCACCCTTGACTAGTCTGCTAGCTTTTGACATATTGGCTGGATGGAGTTGTTTGTCTGTTTTCTTCTCACAGATGTTTTCTTTTGGAGTGCTAGAATTGTTTATAATCAGTTCTAATGTTATTCCATATTCCACATAATTCCAAGTATGCATTCATTTGTCATGAGGTTCTCAAGCTAATTTCAAATGTAAAAGTGTAAAAAAAGTTGATGTATTGTTTTTACTGCCTATAAGGGGCTATAAGAATGTGCAGGCAAGTCCCTCCACAATATTATGGACATTTTCATGACCCGCCTACAAATGAGTTCTTTCATAAGTAAATCCATGCGCTGCCCACCAAGGTCTTCTTTAATAGGTCATTTTCTTTCGTAGTGACAATCCCACCAGAGTGAAGCATATAATCATTCTGATATAAAACTAACTGATAAAGACCCTCTGCTGAAGAAGATCCCCGAACTCACCTAAACAGACCAGACTCACATTTCATACAGAGACAGCTCTGTAAGCTTTACAGTTTATTCTTAGAGATTTCATCCAGAGGCAGCTGTTAGAACGGACTAGTTTCTTGGTTTTAAAACAACATCAGTCAAATTCATAATTTTACTCAGCTTAACTGGCCATGTCATGTTAAAAGGCAGGGATGGTGGCCTACATTTTAAATGATGTGTACTGTGCTGGACTGTTGGGTTTTCCCTGCTTAATTTTACAGAGTGTAGAAGTAACAAGATTAGTTTTCCCTGAAAGTAATAAGTAATATAATCCCATTAAGTAGTGACCTGTAATAGACTACGTTTTGAGTACCCCAACACTGCTTGGTATTGAATGAAAACCATCAGTTTTGCCCATCCCTACTTTCCTCTCTCTCTCTCTCTCTCTAGGCCTCTGGAACTTCACTGTGGCTGTTCCCATGGCGACAATGACTGTGACGACGCTGCTCGTGCTAGTGACGTTTTTGGCTCAGTCGCTCGCAATCAGCACCGAGCTGGATTATGGGACCTGGAACTACAGAGAAGGAGGTAAACACTGAACAAATGCTGAACTAAAAAAAGCACCTTACTCAATCTGACATGCCTTTTTTGGTCAAAAGCAAGTATATCAGTGGGGATCCACGTCAGGGAACAGAGGGATGCTGCCTCGAGCCTATCACTGTGTTCAAATTTCAATAAATAAGTCAATCCGCAAAATCTTTGTCTTAATTTATACAGCGCCACTCATACAAGCAATTGTAATTTAAAGTGTTTTACACGTTGACACCAAGTTATGTACATTACTGTTCAAAGGTTTGGAATCACTGTTGTTTGGAATGTTTTCAATGGTATTAAACCATTTTGGATGCAGATGAGTACATAAAATGATTCTAGTATGATGCTAATATTTTACAGGTTTCAAACAGTTTGTATTGAAGTGTAAAAATGACTATATTTTAGATGATGATTGGAGCTTAAGATGATTCCACAGTAATTGTGATAGCTGTACATCATCAAGAATGAACTTCATAACCAGAATGCTTCATATTTGTAAAGCGGTGACCAAATCTTACTGATCAGATAGCTATTTATAGTAATTTTATGACAAGAAAATGAATAGAGCAATGCTGTATTGGTAACAGTCTGGAGGAACTAATAGAAATATTCTATAAGTGTCTTGAATGAACTAAATATCAGCTAATCCATTAAAATCCCAGGCGTATTACATCTAAAGGGTTATTATTTGGTAAACAATGGCAGCTGGAATAATGATGTAATGGTAACAGTATAATGACATGCAGACTGCAGGCATTAAAAGCAAACTACAAAAAGGAGTGTTGTGAATTGCCTATTCCTAGGTTAAAGGTATGTATTGCACTTAAACGCCATCAGTAAGAGTGCACTGGATATTCTGCGCACTGATCTCCACAAAACGGTCCCAAAATAGTGCACTATATAGTAAACAGAGCACAGGACATGGCCTGTCTCAGGCAGAAAAAGATGTTGACTTTGTTGCTGAAGGCTGCAGGTTCTAAAGTGTCTCTGATTGCTGTGTGTTGTGCCCTCTGGGTAAAAATTGCTCCAGGGGTGTTGCAACATGGCAGTTTATACTTATACTTTCTTTACCAGCACATAAGATCTAAGAAAGATCAACTCCTGCCCAAGAGTCTAAAAAGAGCAACATGTTCTCTTTCACACACACACGTTCATTCACTAATTTATGAGTTATTGCATGTACCATCAGGTTCTTTAAAGCTCTTAACAGTACAGTGTACTAGGTTCTTTGGAGCAGTACTATTGAAGAACCACCTTTGGAACCCCAACAAACCTTTCAGTGGCTGGTTCTAAAAAACATTACAATGAGGTGTGTATGTGTGAAGATTCTTTTTAAAGTAAAGGTCACCTACAAATTAAAAGGGTAAATACCATTATAAAGTAAAGGAAATATATGAATTGAAAGGTTACACGAGATTACAAAATAAAGGTCATATGTGAACTAAAATGTTATTTACTGGCTTCATTATAAAGTAAACACTATATATTAACTGAAAAGTTATAGATGACAAGGTAAAGGATATATTCAACTTAAAATGTTACATAGTGTTATTAAGTAAAGATTATTATAATGTAAAGATCATTTACAAATTAAAAGGTTATGAACAACTATAAAGTAAAGGGTATGTACATACAAGACGGTTCTTCGAGGGTTCTTTAGTAAAAAATGTAGAACTATGCAGAACCATGGACACTCAAAGAACCCTTTGCATAATTAAAAGGTTCTTTGCATCGTAAAAGGTTCTTCAGATTGATGGAGATGGTATATAGATGGATATAGATCAAGGGTTAATGATTTACAAGGGTTAATTGATTGTTACAAGCTTGACTTTGTCACATAACAGAACGCTTTTCAAAAAGGTTCTATAGAGAACCATCTACAGCACATTCTCCATCAACCTGAAGAACGCTTCCACAATGCAAAGAACCCTTTAATTATGCAAAGGGTTCTTTGAGTGTTCATGGTTCTATACAGAACCATTTCTTCACTGAACAACCCTTGAAGAACCATCTTTTTTAAAAGTGCACCATTTAAAATGTTATACATCATTATAAAGTGAAGGTTCTACACAAATTGAAATGTTATGAACTGTCATAAAATAAAGGCTATTCAGGAATTAAAATGTTATACATATAAAATGTTATATGCCATTATTAAATAAAGGTTATCTATTACTAAAAGGAAAGATTTCATAATAATAAAAATGTTATATGCCATTAAAAAGTAAAGGTTATGTACCAATTTAAGTTATTTTTTGTCCAATGAGGACAGCCCGCTGTTTTTAAGCACTCAAACTACTTTAGGAAGACGTTCTGTTCTCGCTCCTTAAGAAGGACTGAATGAAGATGCATTTAGCCTACCTTTATCTGGGGATTGATTAAAAAACAAGCTGCTCTGCTGCAGTTGAATCACAGTAAAACAAGGTTTAAAGGGGCATACCACACAAAAATCCCTTCCAATCTAGCATCTGGGAAAAAGTAGCAATTAATTAGCGGTGATGTGTGGATAGTCGCCCAGTCAAATAACTATTAATTCACTTCATTTTATGTAACAACAAACCAGCTGGGAGATGTTATTGGCTTAACTTATCTAAACTGGCTTCACGTCAGGGAATCAACAGTTTATACACTTTGTGTGGAGTTTATTTTCAGATGAATTTAAGATGATATTTTCTATGACATTCACTCCAGATTCTAAAGAGCCCATATCATACACTTTTCTAGCATTTCTTTTTTTTACTTGAGGTCCAGTTTAGATGTATACGGGTTTCTGTACTAAAAACATAGTTTATTTTTACATGACCATTTTCTAACATCTTTTTATCCCTTAGCCTTAAATAGGCTTTTTATGTTACTGCACTTTTAAGACTGAAATAAGTAAATTATGTCTGTTCTGATGTGCTGCCCAGTATACTGTTTGAAATAAAGGTAATGTGCAGGTACATTTTTCATTCATCAAGGTATAAACAATGTTAATGTACCCTCAAAGGTACAACAGTGGTTTTAGAGTCCAATCATGTACCTTACCATAACCAAATGTTTTAAAACAGAACAATACAATAAAAAGAATGGAGACAAGATGGGGTGTGGAGTCAATACTACTTAGAAAACATACTTTCAATGGACTATGGTACAAATATGTTCTCTGACTAAAGGTACTGAGATGTACCCTTGGGGGAACCACCCCAGTGACAAGAAGGGTACTGCCCCAGTGACATTTTACTACCTTTTTTTTCTGAGAGTGTAGTTGCTAGGGGTGCGGGAAAAATTCGATTCTTAGATGCATCGCGATGCAGACGTGGACGATTCTGAATCGATTCATAAATGTCAAAAATCGATTTTCTAAATATTTAAATTATTGACGGAACGCAAAGGGCGGAACTTGGAAGTGGGTAAGTGCAGCGCTCGGACAGTCTGTGGCGGCACATAACAAAAACACAACTTGATGAGTGAGAAATCCGACCGGCTCCCTCTGCATTAAAGCCAGGTTAGATCAGGAGTCACAACACAAATGATCAGAAGAGACATTTTGTCCTTTCAACAAAAATCAAACTACCTTGGGAGCCACAACATTCATGTCCAGTATGTGATAATGTGCTAGTTTAGGCTAAACAATATAAACGAAAACGCGGACTTACTTCACTCTGCTTTAAGCTTTAGCTATAGCCGCTTTTCCTCCAACTCCGCCAGAAAACTTCTCCTCAAAAGTTGAATAGTTTCTTGTAAAATGTTTCTCAGCATTCCGCTGTTTTACGAGGCTGAGGTCGCTTCTCACTCGCCAGCTTCTTGCTGAACTTGCCCGTTCCACCTTAAATTCTGACTGAGGCGCCGAATGTAAAAGCGGCACCATTTAAGGTGGAATGGGAAAATTAGAGAAGCGACTTCATCTCCGCAACTTTTTAGTTAGTGTGTGACAGTCTCTCGTTGCAGATTTAACATACCAGGAAACCAAGTGCGCTGCTTATAAATCCAAATAAGTCCATTCATCTACAAATGTTCGTCTGTCTTTCTCTTTTACTTTTTCGTTTGCTACTAGCCAGGCGAAACCTCGTTGCTAGGTGACCTGCAGCCCCCACCCTCCCCCATTACCCCACATCACGAGACCAACACCGAAGTTATAACATCACTAAAGAATACGTAACGTGCTGCGTGGACATCCATCACCACTGAATCTTATTTCACCGTAACAGCGCATTTTATCGCAGATGAGTGGCAGCAGCGTCTCAAACAAGAGCGCTGAATGAGAGCCTTCCAGTTCATTTGCCACATCCCTTCCATTTGATTTATTAATAAAAGATATTGGACGTAAATGCATTGTGGATCATTGCAAATACTTTGTTTTAAAACTACAAAGTCCTCAGAGAGTAAGAAAATAGAAATCATATGTAGAAAAAAAAGATGCATCGAGATGGATCGATAATCGTTTTATAATCGCAGCCCTCTGAAACGTAATCGAATCGAATCGTGAGGCGCCTAGAGATTTCCACCCCTAGTAGTTTCCATATATGAATTTTACAAACAGAGTACTAAACAGTACATTTTGAAACTTTAACAATTTTGACATGCATTGTTGCAACTGTTAAAACATTTCAGCTAAAAGCAGCACAGATGTAAATGTTACAACCCCAGACAGGCTGTTGATTTGCTAGAAAACAATTAATTCAATACAGTTCTATGTTGTTTGAACTGGATAATATATGGATTAAATGATCCATTTAAAACAGGTTGGGTTTTTTTACAGCTTAGTTTTCACATATGGACCGTATGGACTGAGGAGTGAATGGCATGTTTTAAAACGTTAACAATTAGGTGTTGGATGACATAACAGTAATAAGGTATTCCACAGCATTTAAAAATGATGCCGGCCATTTAAAATGAAAATTTCTAAATCATAACACATCAAATTTATGTTCTACATCTGGATGGCAAAATAAACACATTCTGCCCTTATATATTCAAAATGGGTCACTGATTGGTGGTTTTGGAGTTCACCAATAGGTGGCACTGATAGAAAGAGGGGAAAAATCAGAGCCAGGAAAAACCTCAGAAAAATCAAGCATGATAGTAGCTCAGTGACGACTAACACCACAGAAAACCACAGATTTTGGCCTTCACTCTGACATTAGCCACTCTCAAGTATACTCTAAACAGGTGTCATTTTAGCATCAATTAGCTGGAACCAGCCTGTGTTGTGGTGTGGCATGTTTGACCTACTAAGCTCTCATCAACTTAGCCAAAACACTACAGTCCCAAACACCACAGAACAGGTTTGATTTCAGTTTTCTGTCACTCCATCACCAGTCACTCGAATTTTGCTCTCTCAGACATTAGTTTTTATCACAGTGTGTCCAGTTAGAATCAAACCTGTACACTGGTGTGTATCAGAAGCTAAAGTTTAGTTAGCTGATCAAGCTACAGATCCAGAAACCAAAAACAGGTGTTATTTCACCTTTCTGTTCTTTCAATGCCAGTTGATTAAATTTACTCCCTTAGATTTACATTAGTATCATCTAAACTTGTGTTAGTGCTTTAGCCAGAATCAAACATGTTAGCTGTTATCATGCTAGCTAAGCTAAACCTAACTAGCTCCTCCCTCCTAGTTAGCAGCACTGTTTAAAATTTAGCAATTGTTGACAGACAGGCTTTACATTTATTGAATGATGGCTTTAAAATCATGCACTCTCGCATTTTCTTAATTTCTCTTAATGGCCATTTCTAATCATGTAAGCAAACTACTCTTTTTTGATTTCTATTTATTAAAATAAAAAAGTGAGGGAAATCTATATAAACATGTTTTATGTACATGAAATAAAACATATAATTTTTTGTCCATATATATATGAACTGAGGGCTTCTAATGTCAGATATATGGACTTCTGAATAACTGCCATTTCCTTCAAAAAATGCTTTCAAAAGACAGTTTAGAGATTTTTTTTCTTTGCTACGTTGCTCGATCCTTCAGTGAACCGAGATTGCACACCCAGTTTAACATCTACATTCACTCACAGTGCACACTCCAATAATTATTTGATTTAAAACATGCAAATGATCATCATTTGGAGGCTCTTATAGGATCTGGAAATCATCACCATCTAAATATGTTTTCCATTTGTGCTAATTTGTTATCCTAGACACTAATCCCTCAGGGCTGTGCCACTTAAGTTCACCATAATAACTGCAGGAAATCTAATGAATGTTTTACTTTATTAGGTTCCAGTAATAATAACACTAATTGCAATCTGATAGTATTCATGCAGTCACATTATGGAAATGAGAATCACACTGTTGGCCAGTCGCTGTCTGCGCTCAAAGGTCAAGTCTGCTTCCAGCCTGTCTTTAAGTCCAGTTTTCCCACTACACTAACAATAGGTAGAGCTACTGACAGAGGGTCACCAATCTAATGTACTCATTATCTCCTTGACCTCTGGTCTGAGGTCACATGGTGCCTCACTCTGCTCATTAATGTCTGACTTGATTGTTTTTTTTTTGTTTTCTCGGTTGCCCCGGCAGCGGAGAGCGTGAACGTAGCTAATGTCCGGAGTGTGACCCGTGTGCTGGACGCTTGGGGGAAGCGCATCTTTAACGAGATCAAGACGCTGCTGCACTCAGAGCCCAGTGCACTACTGCCTGACTACTCGAGGTGCCTGCATTCCCTCTCATTACAGCTCTATGACTCCTGGAGGCACCATGACTAGATTAATGTCTCATCATGTGATCAGCAATCGGTGACAGTTGGATGCTTTCACCAATCAGCAGACATTAGGCCATGTTCACAAGAACATTCTGGTATGCGTAAACAAAAAAAGCCTTGATATGTGCTGCTTGTGCTGCAGTGCTGTCTTGGCTAGCCTGCTAGATTCATTTTGAAAAAGTGGAGTGAATGCAACCTTTTTCCACTTAGATTTGGATTCATTTTCAAGGAAACTAAGAATTGCTGCCAAACGCTAAGGATCCAGTCATAAGTACTATTAGAATGGGATTGGTTATTGGGGTAATGCAATTTTAATGCCATGCATCTGTAATGTTTACGACCAGTTTGCACAGGACAGGAAATCTCTGTGATAGGAGTGGCTACTAGATTTATGCATTGCTGTCACACCAAAAAAGCTCCATACACAATAGGTTTGGCTACTCACAAGTACAAAACATGTCCACACATTTAATCTAATTGTAATTTTGTTTGCACAGCAATCTAGCTGTCTTTTTGTTTTGTGTCATTAGCATTGTCATTAGCTTGGGAGTAAGCATTGCTGTGAAAAAATACAAGTTTTTTCAAACATTTTACTTGTTAAATGTTTGGAATAGTACACTTGAGGTAGGGAAATACATATTGGCTTGATTTGGACCACAAAGAACACAACTAAATGCTTCTTCGTGTGCCTCAGGTCTTAACCCCTTAAATGGCCAGGGCCCTCTGGCAGGCCCAAAGTTCTATTACACTCTCCTATAACCTAAGAATCAGCCCATTTGCATTGAAGTCCGTGTAGTCACTGAACAATAAGCATTAATATGTAATAAGCCTGTGATTTTAAGGGGTTAAAAAACTCCTTCTTTTCTATAGTATATGACGATTCACTGATATGGCCTGGGATTAATATAATATGAGGTTATGTCTATGGTTCATTTTGCAGTATGTTAAAACTGCCAGAATCTTCACTGAAGCAGGAGCTAACAGCCCATAAATAGTTACTAGCATAATGTGTTTGGGCGTCTCTAAAGCACAGAACAGTACCCAATGTTAAAAAACCAATCCAAACTGCAATAAAGTGTCCGGAATTTCACTAACCTATAATATCTAATAGTGCTTCATTTTAGCAAGACATTTTTTTTTTGTATTTTGCTCAATACATCAGTGTGACTGACTGAAGGTCCACCCCAGCCAGTCTCCTATTGGCTGAGCAATGGTTACATCAAAGTATGTTTTGTCAAAGGTTTAACTCAACTTTTTCAATAGGCAGTGGAGTGTAGTTTATTGTGGTTCTGTTGTTCATTAATGCATTGTTCTTATTGAAATCAGTGACAAGAGGTGCGTTTCTGTCCTTATAAATGTGGCCTTATATTGGGTTACATCCTCTGAGAGCTGTAGTCTAGTAGCCTCATGACTATGGGCTGAAGTGCTAGTCATTAAGAGTCACATGCATAATGCAGTTATGTAATACATCATTAAGGCTCCACTGATTGCTTGCAGTAAGTTATTAGAGGACTGAGAATTATGAGGGAACAGAGCAAATATACCCATCATCCACTTTATTAGAAACTCTTACCTGCTTCCACTGACTGACCAACATATGAGCTCCACATACATTATAGGTCACTAAATACGGTTGAAATTCTATCTTTTGGGAGATATTGTTATCAGTAAGCATGTTAATTTTATTTTAAAAATATTAGAATCAGTACAAATAAACAATAACACAAAAAATGTAAAGTTATACTTCATCAAGTTCCCTGATGATGATGCACATGATCATTAGGCCTTAATCCAAATCCAGTAAAGACAGTTCCAGATCAATTTTCTGATCATTCAAACCTCTCAGTGTGTTTTGCTTACCCTCAAAAGCCAGGGGCTCATCTAAGCAGCTGTCTGAGGATCTGAAACTAAAGATAACTGACTCTTACAGAGCAGGAGAAGACTATAAAAGGTATCTAAACACTTCCTGTTTGTAATTGTCACTGCTTGAAATGTCATTAAGAAATGGAAGTCAAGGAGAACTGTTGAAATCAAGACAAGATCCAGAAGCTTAAGAAATCTGGTCTGATATACACCCCACATCACTGCCAAGGACCTTCATGACTATTTGACTGGTATGGGAGTAGAGAAACACTGACCCACTATGTAGTGTTCTGGACAAACATTATCTACATGGGAAGATTCGTCAAAAATGAACTTTAACTGCGATGTCTTCACAAAAGTCAACATCTGATGTATGCAAAACAACACTTTGGTAAACCTTAGGCATTTTGAAATAAAGTGCTGTGATCTGATAGAACAAAAAATGAGCCCTTTGGCTACAATCACCAAAAGTATGTTTGGAGAAAAAAGAGCAGCATTTGATGAAAAGAACACCTTGCCCTAACCCTAACCAACTGTCAATCATGGGGTGGATCTGTTATGCTTTGGGGTTGTGTGACAGCCAGTGGCACAGGAAATGTTGAGGGAATAGTGTGATTTCAGCCAAAGAGGGTCTTGCTAAGCATTGACTGAAAGGATTCATTTAATATTTATTTTTTGCCAATATGTTAAGTTCAACAAACAAATAATAATTGAGCATAACCATTTGCCAAAATGCCATATTTAATTTCAATGCGTATGTGGTGTTCACTTTTTTTCTCACTTCAACTTCAACAAAATGTGTAATTTTACTGTATCATTTCATTTTTATCTCTTAATGAAAATATTTATTTAGGGTTAAAGAACTGCTCTATTAAAAGTAGATAACACTTTACTTTTCAGAGCCAACAGCATAAAGTCTGCTGCTGTAAGTAAATGCTTGCTGTTGTTCACAGCTACGTGGGCTGAAATGAAATCAGATTTTCAGACCTTGTCAGATTTATTGATTTTTTTCTGTTGCTAAAACTAAGCAGATTGTGGAGAAGGGAAGAGAGAAAACGATTACACTGTCAAACGCATGAGCATACACACATATTAACACATATGCATGTGTCCCCAATCATGCAAGCCCACTCACACTCTCTCCTCAAACTTTTCCTCTCCCCTCTGCAGGATCCGTCCTCTCTCAGAGTCTCTGAACGATCTCTTCAGAGAAGTCTCGCATTTACAGAGGCGCATCACCGACCTCAACCATCGCCTAGCAACCATGGAGCCCTTCCTCCATCGCCATGGCTACCGCAAAGAGGGGGAGGAGGGAGGGGAGGGGACTGAACCTATGCCCCAGAGCATGAGGGGGGCGGGCACCAGCCTGGCAAAATACCCCCAACGCTACAGGGTCCGCGTGGTACGCCCCTTTAACAGAGTGTTACGAACCAGAAAAGTGAAAGTGTACAAGGACGAGAGTGGCAGAGTCAAAGTGAGAGAGGATGAGAGATAGATGGGTGAGAGGAGGGCAAACAAGAATGAAAAAGAGTAAGAGAGAGAGAGAGAGAGAGAGAGAGAGAGAAATTGATATTATAAACATTATAAATATTGCATTAGTATGCAGTGTAAGTTACTTAATGTATTAAATATAGTGTAACGTCTCCAGAAAATTGTGCATTATGTTGGTGGTGAATTATGAATGATACATTCAAACATGTAACACATATAGTAAGTCATATGCAGCAGTGTTGTGGGCTGAAATGTATTTTCAAGCAGGTTTTTTGTGTTTTTGTGTTTCCCACCATCTGCTCTATCCGGACATCTACAATATGGAATCCTGTTTTAGCTTTTAATCCACATTTCATAATATCAGCAATTCATCTAAATGTTAAAACCAAAAATGTCGTTCTAAAATGTCAAAATTCACATTTTACTAGTAGAAATTCTATTTTAGTCTGTAAGAGTTAACTTCTCTCTAGTAAGATGTTATGGGTTTCCTAATTAATTGTAATGAATGATGAATGGAAAATGTTTTTACAGGTATAAATAAAATTTTTACATTTAAAAGTAAAACTTTGCATATGAAGCAACTCAGTTTTAACTGAGCCTTAGCTTAGGATCAGCTGTATAACCCATTCATGTGGTCATGAGATCATCCTGGTTTAGACTGGCTGTCAAACAATGTTAATACTCACATGTACTGTTCACTCTCCAGTCTAAACTGTTCATATATGGAAATTTTGAATTCATTGTTTTGTGATGCCACAGAAACAAATTCATTTACACATATCCGCCTATTAACCATGGAGCATTTTAGCCTGTCAGTTCACATAAGTGTTTCACCCTGGACTGCTTTTGGAATGATGCCTGATACAATCCAGCCAATCAGACAATAGATCATTTACATATAGCAGCCTTAAAGGCACAGTAACAAAAACAGCCTGCATCATTCTAAGAAATAAAGAGACAAACATCATCAGTGGACATTGAGCAAAACAAAAGCATACAAGAGAAATGTACAAAATGGATCCTTCACATGTTCAGCTCATCTATATATCTCTACTTTTCTGGTCTGTCTGTTTTTGGTCTTTTAATTTTTTTTTAAAAACCAGTAATGAAAACCGGAAAAACAGGTTGATTCTTGGTTTTGGTTCTGTTATTATCAGTGTAAAAATCAAGAAATAGCTTTATTTACAGTTTCACAAACTAATCATAGCATCAAATAACAAACAAACAAAAATGGAATAAGAGGTCATATTTTATTTACCCAATATTAAAATTTCCTATCACTTTAAATGAAAAAAAAACATGCAAAGTTCACATATGGTCGCATTTTTCCACTCACAATAACAGAACCAAAAACGAGAATTGATTCATTTTTCCGTTTTTCCATGAAAATTGAATGACCAAAGGGACACCGACCTTTTCCCTGACTGGGTAGGCCTCTGATCAGTCAGGGTAGACATACCCAGGCCTACCCATGGCTAAGCGCCTGACATACAGCATATAACTTTACAAGACTATATTCTTCTTCTCTGCTGCCTGCACTAGTGTAAGCTTGGATCTCCAAGGTCCAATCAAAGTTCTCCGGCAGAAGAAACTTTAAGCCGCATTCACTGGACCAGAACTAACTCCCGATGGCTGGAAAAGTTTGCCTAGCCAGCTGACACCGATGAGGGAAAAGTACGAGTCCCTGGCTAATTTAACTTTTCGACCAAGTTAGGACACAGATTGCAAAAAAAAAAAACGTTACTTTGCGGGTACGTTTGGTTGAACCTCTGGGAAATGAACTGAGCTAAGACACAAGAAACAGAGTTTCAGGTAAATAAACCTTTCTGAGTCATGAAGCTCTTTGTGCATAAAAATGATTTATTATCATTTATAAAGAGTGTCTATGTAGCAGCAGTACACCCTGATACAATTTATAATACAGCATAATGCAGTGTTAAAAGAGCTTGTGTAGCAGAATGCTATCAGTAATGAGCCACTAATTATCACACTGCATAAGATACTAAAATCACTATTATTCTGTATATGGTACATATGTTCTTTTCTACAGTGTATGGGTAAGTATGTGCTTTATAAACACTACATGCTAAAACACCATCAATCTATACATGGTCTATGAAGACATAGTACTGTGTATAAGTCATAGACCACGTTTCATTTATTTAATTTCCAGTAAAAGCTGCTATTAAGTACAAGCTATTCATTTTGCACAAGATATTTCTGATGGGATTATACATAAGATAATACACTTGCATAAGGAAGGGGAAAGTCAAAAGACAATAGGTGAAAAAAAGCGTTTTCCAAAACTGGAGTTAAAAAGGTTAATAAAAGAAACTGGGACTCCTACCAACCATGCAAGACCTGGTAGACACCAAAACTGCCCCCATCAGATAAACAGCACTTGAAGCTTTCATCTTTGAGAGAGAGGAGAAAATCAAGCTCCACTCTTACTTCAGGTCTGAAAACATCCACAGGTGTTTCTGTCCATCCTTCCACTGTGAGAAGACAACTCAACACTGAGTCTGAAAGGATGTGTAGCTGACAAGAAGCTTTTACTGAGAAAAAGAAACAAACAAGAAGATCATCTGCAAATCAAACAAAGAAGCTGCGGGTGTTCCGAGAACAATAGAATGACCACGCCAGAGTCCAGACCTCAACATCACTGAATGTGTTTGAGATTACTTGGATCATAAGAAGCAAAAAATGCAAGCAACTTCAAACACTGAACTTTGGAGGTGTGGAAAAAAAATCATAGACAAGACAGATGGACTATTCCAGGCTGTGTGTGTAGTGTATGCTTTATAAACACTTCAGACTCATCAACTGATGTAAACATGACTGGTTATTGCAGCACATCCTCTTCTATGGGCACTATGTTGCATTGGCCACAAGGTGGCAGCCTTGTGTTACTTTGGGTTTTTCAAGAGTAACTCAGTAGACCTGCGCATCCCTGTTTCAAATTTAAGAACAGGCTATGTGATATAATGTAATATAAAGTGTAATAAGATTTTAAAAATGGGGTTATGACATGCAAGTCAAGGGATTCAGGCACCTTCTAGCATCTTCTAACCATTTCAACTCTAAACTCTTGCCAGCTTGGTTATTTTTTACTACATCACTACACTGTTTAATAGGTAAAGCACCTCCCATCCATTAGCACAAAGTTAAAGACTGCACTATGGGTAAAGAAATAGTTTTACAAAAAATATCACACAATAAGAGCTACATAAGAAAGTGAGATCATACACTGTTCTTATGTAAATATTATTCAGCTGAGAGTGTGGTAAAATGTGAGCCAAATATCAGAAACAGGAGAAAATTGCTTTAAGGGGAATTTCACCAATTTTTCAAAATTTCAGTATAATAGTGGTTGAGATAAAGTTATGATAAAGATATAGTTATTCAGAGTGGTTTGAAGTGGTTTGATAGCTACAGTACAAACACAGCCATACTTCTCCGCCATGAATATATAAAAAAAAATTAAGACCAAAATCTTATCTCAAAACTATTATAAAACAAAGTCTCAGCATCAGGCAGCATTTCATGTACTAACTTTGTAAGGTAGCTTTTAGACACATGAAACTCTTCCGTCGTCTCGTTCCTATTACCACCACTGTGAACAATTAGGACTTCATAATTTTCTCTAGAATGGAGCATTTCATACCAAACCACTCTTATTGAGTTTGTTACAGTCTTAACAATTTAATTATGCAGAAATTTTGAAAAATCGATTGAATAACTCCAAGCCTCAGAGAACTTAATCATGTCTATGAAAAGAAAACAAGACTAGGAGGAGATCTTAGAATTTATAATATTCCTCTCCAGTGGCTGAGTTAGCATGAAACCATATGCCTGAAGCATCATGTCAGATAGACTTGTTTAGAGCATCCTCCTCATCCCTTTTCATGCCTTTCAACTCTCAATGAAGCTGAAGTCAACTTCTTTTTCTCCAACATCTTGTTCGACTTTTGCCGCCCCACCAAAAATGATTATTATACCACCCCAGGCTCTAAAATGTACCCGCCATACCATTTAAGGTGGAACGGGAAAATTCAAACAAGAAGCTAGCGAATATGATGCTTAAATAGGATGAGGAACTTCAGCCTCATCAACTCTCAGAGGTCTCCTGTTGCTGATTGGCTAGAATAGTGTTGTGTTACTCAATCCAAACCACTTTGTTTCCGATATACAGAGCGGGGGCTGAACAGACAGATAGAGGACCATGAGGAGATATGAACTGAATTTAATGAAATTGTATATCACTTACAGCACCTTTAAACTCTTAAAAAATGCCTCTTCACAGGCCGTGATCAAAAGGTAGCATGACACTCAGTAGCTGGCACATCCAGGCCAGCGTTTAGAGCCATTTGCATAGTGTCTGTACCTAACACCAGTGGGTACAATCTACATTTGTTTTTGCAGGAGCAGTAATAGTTTTTATAAAGTATCATTTGTTTGTGTGCGTGTAGGTGCGCTGTACTGTAGATGTGCTGTGTGTGTGTGTGTGTGTGTGTGTGTGTGTGTGTGTGGCAAGCCTGTATGAACTATGTGTCCTCATTAAAACTTAAGCACTAAAATGCTGTGCTCTGTCTCTACGGCAACAAGCCTGCCTCTCTCCTCCTCTCCGCAGAAATGATCGTCAAGCAGCTCCTCAGCCTGTTAAACGCTTCTTCACTTTATTGTCTGTCCATTCTTCCTCCCATCACTCCACACTCTGTCTCTTCTCCACGTTTATCTCTCTCTCCATTCATCCAATTCTTCCTCTCCATCCTCCTTCCCACTGTCTCTTGCCATTCTTTCTTCTCTCCATCTTCCTCATCACTCTCTCCTTTTCTTCTTTCCCTTTTCCTCATTGCCCATTCCTTTTCTCTCCATCCTCATTATCACTCTTTTTAATGTTCTTTCTTCTCTCCTCCTTTCCCGCTTCTCTTCTTCATCCTCATCTCTCTGTGTTCTCCATCTTTCCCTTTCTCTCCATACTCTTCACTCTCTCCATTCTTTCTTCTCTCTATGCTCATCACTCTCTTTTTGTTCTTTCCTCCTTCTCACCATACTCATCACTCTCTCCTATCTTTCTTCTCTTCTCCTCACTTCCCATCTCCACATACTTATCTCTCTCTTTTCTTTCTTCTCTCGTTATTCCCTCTCTCCA